TTCCTATACTTGAAGTATTGTAGCATACTGAAAGTTAGCATGATATGTTAAAATAGTATATAAAGATGGAAATGACCTTTTCAGTATATTTGGGGTTTTTAATTTTAGTTTTATTTCATTTGTATGGATGTTTGTCTGCACATATGCCTGTGTCTCACATGCATGCAGTGTCCTTGGAAGCCATGAGAGGGCGTCAGATTCCCTGAAACAAGTTACAGGAGTTGTGAGTCACTATGTTCCTGCTTAGAATTGAGCCAGTGCTCATAACTGCTGAGCCATTTCTCCAGCCTCCAAGTGTTTTGTTATTTTTGTTTTTAGTACACTAAAATAAAATAGGTAAGTCAGAAATTTCAGCAAGTTTGAGAGTAATTGACGATATGTTACATAGTAGTTAGCTTCTGCAGGCATTTCAACCAAAGCTTTTTCATTTCCTTAAAAAAAGTAAACCTGGATAATTGTGTTATAATATAAATGGGACAACGCAGGCTTCTAATTTTACTTTAATATAAATATTAATAATACTAAAATATTATGAGTAATTTAGTGTGTGTGTGTGTGTATGTGTGCCCGCGCACATGTGTGCACATGCATCCCATGATGTATGCGTGGAGGTTAGAAAATAACATGCTAGAGTTGTTTCTCTCTTTTTACTATATGAGTACTAGGATTGACCTAAGGTCAGGCTTGGCAGCAAGCATCTTTCCCTGCTGAACCATCCTGCTGTCTCAGCTCTTAATTTTTAAATGTTTTTTATATTTCTTAGACTTACCTTTGATTAATTGTATTTATAACATTTTATGGAGAAATTCAATGTCTTTCTTTTCATTAATTCTAGAAAATTTTCTTGCTTTCCTTATTTTTTTGCTTTCAGTCTAACAGATTTATTTTTTTTCTCCCTAAGGACCACAAACCGTTTTCTGTTTCTAGTACTCCCACCTTATCACGCTCAAGCTCTATAAGTGGAGTAGATACAGCAGGGCTGCAGACGTCTTTCCTGTCTCAGGTAATGGAGTATTTCTTACATGTGCTTAGTTCTTTCCTTGAGTAATGGTAAGGGAACGTGGAGTGTCAGGTTGTCTGCTACCATGACCTTGTTGGAGGAATTCATCAGAATGTAATGCTATTGAAGGAAAGAAATGCAGATGAGTTTCTGCTTTTGAGAAACTCAGAGACATTTCAAAACCAGAATTAGCAGGATCTTTGTTTGAACTTGATAATAGAATATAACATGATAATTGTCTGTGTGTGTTCTTTAACTGAATAGGATGAATCTCATGATCATTCATTTGGGCCAATGTCTACATCAGCCAGTGGAAGCAATCTTTATGAAGCTGTAAGGATGGGAGCAGGATCGAGCATTATTGAAAATCTGCAGTCTCAACTAAAGCTGAGGGAAGGAGAAATTAGTCATTTACAGGTATTGGAAAAAAATTAAGTATGTTGTAGATACCTATGAGATATTGTGTCCTAGTAAGTAGTAGCCTTCATTTCCACTTGAATTCTGAGCACACTGGAAAATAAGATGAATTGGTGACATACAAAACTCAAGCGTATCACATATAGAAATGATATAAACTAGAACCAAATGAGCCTCCTAACTGACTGCCATAGTTAGGCAGATTTATCTGCTCTGTCTTAGGAAATGCTGGGTGCTGTGGCCTGTCCAGAGAAGACCTAGGGACATCTGAGAGCAGGGATAGCCCACTCCTGTCCAGTCTCTTTTCTCAACAAGAAAAAAGGAAGTGCTGAACCAGCATGCTTCTTTATTTTTCCCATGTGCCACAGGAAAAGTTTCTCTTAAGTTCCTTACTGCAAGGAATGAGTCAAATAAAAGAGACCTACATATAGAAGAAACAACACAAATAGGAGGGAGCTATAAGAATTATTGCTAATGGAGTAAGAGTTAGTATTTTTCTAGCTTTTGATGTTAAACTTACACACTCAAAATGAATACCTCTTCCTATTCCCATTTGAATTATTATGAAGTGGGTTGATGTGTACTGATAGGTATAGCCCAGTGTGTTATGCTTGAGAGTCCTGCTTAGTTTCTCGGGTAGTGGTAGTGGTGAAAGTTCTTAGCAATACAACCTACATAGTTGGGAGGGACAGCATTAAAGTATGTTTTCATTTCACTGCTTTTTTCCAGTAACTTAGAATAATGGAAGTGTATGTTGTTTTCTTAGGTTAGAGAAAAATGTGGTTGCATTTTTTTCAGACAAATTATTGTATTTTCTTCACTTCTTTCTTGCATAGTGAATCCTGTAAATAAATAACTTCTGAAGAAAGTTGGGGCCCTTTCCCCCCACTGCTCAGCGTTATATGTTAATATATGTTTTTCTTCAAAAATGATACACGAAATATTTTTGTTAGCTAGAGTATTAAACAAGATATGCTTTTACTGAAACCATTTGATGGTTATGTTTCTCAGCTAGAAATTAGCAATCTAGAAAAAACTCGATCCATAATGTCTGAAGAGCTGGTTAAATTAACAAATCAGAATGATGAACTGGAGGAGAAAGTGAAAGACATCCCCAAGCTTCGAGTTCAGCTCCGAGTAAGTACTCTTCACTTAGTGATACATTCAAGACATTTTAATCCAGTTTTTAAGTATCATGTTTTTAGTTTACATAAAACACGTATGTGTGATTTAGTAACTTCTCTGAAAATTAAGAGGTCAAGTAGTTGAATGTTGCTTGTGTTCTTACATATCTAGTATTTTCACAAAGTGTTTAGTACTAATCAAAGAAAACAGGATTTTTTTGGCCAATAGTTATTGAAGCAAGCATATCCCACACTTGTCTTGTGGGATAAATGCCAACCAAAGCAATACTTACATTCGTCACCAAGACAAAAATCTCATCAAGGTACCTAAATTAATGGGAAGGAGGCTGATTAAGTCCTATTTGGAGAGAATTGTAGATTTAGTGGAGAAATATGGTTGGTGTGTGTGTGTGTGTGTGTGTGTGTGTGTGTGTGTGTGTACACGTGTTTGTGTATATGTTGGGATGTGTGCTCGGAGGCCATAAGAATAAGAGGGTGCCCTGCTTGATCACACCCCACCCTGCTAGTCTCCTCAGACAGGAATCTCCTTGAGGCTGGAGCTTGCTGCTTTTTGGGTAAGCTGGCTGACTGGACACCAGCTCCAGTGAGCCTCTTCCCAGATCTGGGGTTACAGACTGTGTAGCTCTTTATATAAATGTTGGGGGTTGGAAGTGAGGTCCTCATGCTTGCTCAATGAGTGCTCTTACCCACTGAGCCACTCAGCCCTCTATCGCAGTTTCCAAAGAAATTCCTCTCTTTGGCTCTGTATTCCTGGGTATAAGTTTAATTTTTTAAAAAGTAAGTTTAATGTTTTTAAAATTATCAACCTGTAATGTTGTTTCTATTGACTTATAGCAACTGTAGATGATTGCATGGTCATTAAAAGATTATAAACAAATATTTTTTAGGATTTGGATCAAAGATATAACACTATTCTGCAGATGTATGGAGAAAAGGCAGAAGAAGCAGAGGAACTTCGCCTGGATCTTGAAGATGTAAAAAATATGTATAAAAGTCAAATAGATGAACTTCTAAGACAAAGGCTCAGTTAACTTGTGAAATCTGTATTCCCATCAAACTGAATGTAAACACTTAATATATACATGCAGACTTCCAATAAATTCCTTTATAGAGTTAGAAAATGGGATTTACTGTAGATTGTAAAAAACTTTTTAAAAAATTCTTTTATAGTATGTAGTTATATTTGCAGTTAAATTATTTTGTGCAATATTTGAATTTTATTTTTGAAACTATTCTTTAAAATTTTTTAAAGCATTTTTTTTGTGCCTTGAACAGCACAGAGATTTATTACTTTATCCATATAGCAATATGGCTAAGAAAGAAGATTGCTGTTTTCATATTATTGTGGATATATAATTAACTGTATTATATCTATAATTTATATGTGTTTGTACATACTGAGAGACTTACAGAGTAATGTTAATATTGAAACTTTGAAATCTTTCACACTGAAATCTTCAACATATTTCTTGAAAGTGTTTTCAGCATTCAAGTGTAAAGGTTATTACAGTTTTGTGACTACTAAATTATAAACTAAGATTTTTTTTCTTTTAAAAGCCGAAGGCACACTGACATGTCGAAAATCTAAAGAGTAATTTAAGCTTAAAAAATATTTCTGTTTTGAAAATTTATTCCATGTTACTTTCACAATGAAATATGAACAAATGTAGATCCTTTTTTGGTACTTATCCAAAGAAAGCTATAAACATTCAATATTAGCTAGGCATAATTGAAAAGTGGGAAATTTTGCTTGCAGTAAATTCTGATAGCATCAGTAGCAGGTAATTTTGAAGTATTTTACTACATTGTGAAATGAATCTAACATAATAAAACCATTGACAAAATTTACTCTTAAAAATTAGTCAATTTACTTTTTAAAAACTATTTGTTTAATTTTATACAGTTGTATTTTGGGACATTAAAAATGAATGTCTTCAAATAGAATCTCCATAGCAAAACAAAAAAGTTACAGGAGTACATTTAAATTGGAGATTTTATAATTTTGTTAGTTCAACATTTTTTTTTTACTGAAGCCTCAAAAAGCAAAAAATAACAAAAAGTAGTGTAGAATAGCTTTAAAACATAGTTATGCCCTCTTCAAAATGTTGCTTTGTTTAAAAGTTAATCAGGTTGTATTTTAGACCTGTAAAATTATCTAACTGTTTTTATCATAGCCCCTCTTTATCTGTTCTTTTGTGATTATACTCTAGTTAAGCTCAGAAATAATCCAAAAATACATAGAAATTACAGAAATAGAGTTTATCAGTGCAAAAGTGTATATGCTGCTCAGAGTAGCCAGCTGGAATCTCACTGTTTGACCGCATTTGTCCAGTACGCTCACACCCCTTGTTAGTCACTGAGTCATGTCAGCTATTGTGTCTACTGTCATCGTGTGGACACTATGTTCTTTACTGGCCCCAAAGTGAAGATGTCAAAGGTTAACCACAAGTTCTTCGCTTTAATGGAAAGATGAACATCACTGTTGACTACCTTGCTGGAGGTTGGTAGCTTCCACTGTTTTAGGCATTCAGTGAGGATCTTAAAACTGCCCTCCCTGCATTGAGAAGATAGGATTTCAAATAAAAGCTAAGTTTCAGTTACATTTGAAATAGTACTTCAGAACACAACTGAGTAGCCATCTTGCAGAATGGAGACTTTGGAAGGTGATTCAAGTGACCTTATTTTTGTTCCTTGTGTTCCATCACACAGTGCTGCTGTCATTTTCTCCGACTTGTAGCATGAGTAAATGTCCTGTTGGTGAAAGTCAAAGTCATAAAATTAAGTTTCTATATTTTGGTAGTAGGAAACCTCCTCTTAACTGTTCTCCAGCTTTAAAATGTTTAAGCCAGGTGGTGGTTGTGCATGCATTTAATCCCCAGCACTTGGGAGACAGAGGCAGGTGGATCTCTGTGAGTTGTAAGTTCAAGGCCAGCCTCGTCTACAGATCAAGTTCCAGAATGGCTATGCTACACAGCGAGATGCTTATGCTACACAGTGAGATCCTGTCTCAAAAACAAGCAAACAAACAACCCAAAAAGCAAAAACAACACAGAAAAACAGCAACAACAAGAACAAATCAGCTTTAAATATTCAGGGGCAGGATGACAAGTCTGATTGCAATAGAAATGTAGAGTTAGAGACAGGAAACCTCAGTTTCAAAATTCTTGACAAGCATTTGAAACTGGTAGTTTGGGGAATGTAAAATACTTTTTAAACAAATAGTTAAAAATGTGGCAGAGAAAAGACTTTGAAATTAAAATTTCCTGTATTAAACTCCAAATACTACAATATCAACATTAAATATTTTTCTTGGTCCTTATTAATAAAATCGGCTACATTTAAATCTTAAGTGTTTTCAACTTATTTATAAAATACTACACAACCATTTATATCACATGGTCTGCTTCATCTACAAATTAGTAGCTAATATTCAAACTGCTTTTAATTTGACTAGTGTATATTTAGACCTTTCAATACACTTCAAATTGATACGGAGAACTGTTTAAATTTCTTGTAAATAATCCAGTAGGTGGTTAAGCTTTCATTAAGTTTATTTGCTTATATATCATTGAAAATTCTCTACTCATATGCTAGTAGAATATTGTAATGCATAAAATAGTTTGCAATTATATGCTTCCATTCTTGAGAAACAACAAAGATACTTGGAATTAAGAGTGAAAGAGGCATGGGCACTTGGTGGTATCAGACGCTGGTGCATCTTAGAGGCTGGATGGAGAAGCTGCTGCACTAAGCCTCTCTTGAGAGCACTGTATAGCATTTAGCATGTAGAATGTACCAATTACATGGTATTACAATTCAAAATATTCTTAAGTATGGATGATTTTTGACTTGAAGAATTTGAGGTTTGTCTGTTTGTTTATTCCTGAAAAAAAGATCTCACTGTAACTTTGGAGCCTGTCCTGGCACTTGCTCTGTAGACCAGGCTGGTTTCAATTTAATAGAGATCCATCTACCTCTGCCTCCCAAATGTTGGGAGTAAAGGCATGTGCTACTACCACCCGCCTGAATTTCAGTTTTTATGGTTAATTAAATGAAAAGAATATTCAGGAAGTGTTTTCCCTCATCCCTCAATTATTTAATTAATTGAAAGTTTTATTTGAATGCTTATTAAAAGTACATGATGGGTAATGTTTAAAAGAAATCCCCCAGATTAGAGAGGAATGAGTGTAAATGCTTTATTTTACTACTGTTTGTTTAGTATTATATACATGTATCTTCTAGGGGATCTTTTCTTATTTTTATTACAAAAAAAGTTGATTCAATTTTCCTTATCCTTGGCCAGTTTAAAACTAAAAAAAAAAAGCTACATATATTGTAAAGGGCTAAAAATGATTTAAAATATAGACTGATATTATTTTAAATACAAAAGAAAGGTAATATAAATAAGCATGGATCTGCTTTAAATAAAGATTTGAAAGTGCTAATGTATTTCATTTTCATATAATTCAGAGAGGTGCTTCTTTGTATATAGACCTGTGTGGTTCAACATGTAGCATCAGAGCTACTACTACACTATTTCAGCTTGGCATGCCACACAGTCCCAGTGTCATCACTAGTCACTCGTTGCTGAGAACAGTCTAAGTTCTTTTTTGTTTTGTTTTTTTTAATTCTTTCAGTCTCGAGGTAGCTCTCACTAAGGAGATATAAATTGTGTTTCCAAGTTGTTTAAGGTATTCCTTTGTGTTACATGAAGCAACTGTAGAGAATTAAGCCCATTTTAGTTTTCAAAGAGTGCTGTGTATTTTTTGAATTTTGTTTTATAATGCAACTGCATAGTTCCAAAATCACTTGTCTTCTTCCTATACCAATGTTCCTTCCTTTTAGTAAACATTTCAAATATTCTCTAGTCTATGAGGTAGTACATTGTGTGTGTGTGTGTGTGTGTGTGTGTGTGTGTGTGTGTTGTGTACCTCTCAGTGAGTATCCTTTTCCACACAGTGTGTTCTGTGTTTGGTCTTCTCCTTCATCATTCAGCAAGTACACTGAACCATCTTTGTGGTCCATGAACTAACACTTGAACTGAGCTAAAAAACAATCTTAAAATTTTATTATTTGGGGTTTGTTGATGGTAACTGAAAGCTAACACAGCTAGTTTATTCACTCAATTTTCTGTTGGTGGCATTTGAGTTTATATTAATATCAGTTTGAAGAGAGTCAAAAATTAAAGTCTTATATTTTGAGGAAATCGGGAATGGCTAAATACAGTAATACAGAAGTCAATCTCATTTTTAAAATCCTATAACTTGTTTCCTACAGATCTCAGTGACTGCTCAGTATAATGGTATCTAAAAGAGCACCAGGTAGATGGCATACCAGTTTGATTACTGCACTCATTTGTTTTGCATTGACAAACAGTTGCATTTCCTGACATAACAAAAACAAGTTGTCGACAAATAAACTGAAAAAAAAAACATTTTCTAAATTTTCTGCTATGGTAAATAAAATACACAAGGCCACGCCCGCGGGTTCGGTTGCCTTTACCAAAGCAAGGTAAAAGTCATCATGCTTACTAGTGTGAGTTAGTAGTTAAGTTGAGCACAATTGAGTTCAAGTCCTAGTAGCCACATGGCAGCCCTTGTGGAGCGCGGTAGAGGGAGGCATGCTGGAACTGCAGGGTACCAAGAACAGAAAAGAGTGGGAGGTACACATGCAAATAATCATGATCACATAAACAAGCAGCCAGAACAGAAATAATCATGAAATAGCAAAATCACAAAAATTAAACAGAGTAGCCTTTGAACTTGGGCAGTTCATGGATAAGTAAAAACTCTGGAATCTACAGTACTTTCACTACCCACCAGAGACTGTGTGCCACTACATTGAGTCTCATTTAAGAATCAGGTCAGCAACTTCTGCTTGGAATGAAAAAGTAGAATTGGAGCTCTAAGTGATATGTGACAGCCCCATGGACCACCTGCATACTCTTGTGCTGGTGGCCTGCAAGTGCCTGGAGGAGCCGCCAGGGACTAGTAGCCAGGTGTACCGCTTATGGCGAGATGCAAGCAGGCGGGTGTCCTACTTTTGAAGAGATGGAAATAGGTGTCCCGCGTTCCAGGCGGGATGGGGGGGGGCGTGTAAGCGGTGCTCCCCGCCCGGGGTGGGTTCAGGCGGATGTCCCACATGGCTTAGTTTGCGGGTCCTACGCTAACCTTGGTTGATGGAGGGCTAACGGTGCCCTCCAGACAATTGGACCTCCGGGTGTGGCCCGGGTCACTTGGGTCCGCCTTGGAGCCCCAGGCCGAGGTGTCGCGGCTGCTCCCGGGCGCCCCCTGGCCCGGCTTGGGCGCCCGAGGTTTCCGGTGCACGGCCGCCGGCTGTGACGCCTTGCTGCTCCGGAGCAGCCGCGGCTTCTCCACAACCCAGCTGCAGGTGGGCCCCGCGTCGTTCTCCCCTGCTCCCCGCCCGCGCCTGCACCCCCGCGGGCCCGCAGCCCGATGTTGGGGCCTCGATTCGGGTCCTCGACCCTTCAGCTCGTCCTCCGGAGCTTGCTGGTGGCTGCGGGCAAGGGCGATGCCTGGCCAGGCCTGCCCTCTTCCTCAGATCCCCAGGCTGGGGCGGAGTCACTCTCCAGATTTTCCCCGTACACCTGGAATCCGAGCGCCTGCCTGCACAGCTCCGTCCCCAAGCAGCCCGGGCCAGGGTTGGCTGTTGCGGGGCTCGAGAGGCTGACTTCTCCACACCAGGGAGGGGTTGACTTTGCTCAGACAGCCCGGAGATAGCCACCTCAGCGGCGCCTCAGGCAGCCAAGTCCTGAGCAGTGACTGCTCACCTACCTTGGGACTATAGTCTTTGAGCCCCAGATGCACTTAACTTTCGATCTGACAACTGCCGGCTGTTGCCGAGCATTGCCCGAAGTCACTCATGTGGTCATCCCTGGTAAACCCAGGTCTCGTCTTTCACAGCGTTCAGGTTTTTACCTTTTTCCTCTTCTTTTAGGCCTGTGGAAATCCAATCAAGCCATATACGAGTGAAGCGTGCTTGGCCGTTTTGTGCAAAAGGACCCAGTAGCCTCACCTACTAAAGCTTCCATTTGCTGGAACTGGGCATCCACCCATCCCTGCCAAGTCTTGAGAGGACTCAACTCCAGGAAGGCTTCCTGCCAGGCCCCGAGGTGGTACTTTCATGCTCACAGCCACCATCACCCAGCGCATGCAAGTTGGTACGTGTCCTCCCTTGCGAAAGCCAACTGTCTGATCTTTAGATTTTCCCCATGGCCAAGGGTTACTTTTCTCCACGAAAGACTGAGTTTAGTTAACCGGTAGAACTCATTGCTGGGCAGTGGATTTGGATAACCGAAATTCAGGACTTAGTCATAGCCGTGGCGTTATGAGCAAAGGGTGAGTCCAAGGACTGGATAGCCTGCTGTGATCCTGAGGTTGGCACTGGCCCAGGTGGCCCTGGGAATCAGAGAGCAGGATTACTGCAGTGAGAACCGGGAACAGACTGGTCCTGGGAATGTTTTCTCTGCTAATTATCCAGTTGTTCTTTACTGAGTGATGTCGGTGTGGGATGGGCTACCTTCATCCTGCTCACCACTAGCCTCTGTCTGCTCCGTGAGTTACTGTGTCCAGGGCCCCAGGGCCCCTTCCGGGGACTTTTTTGAGAGATTTGGGATTCGGTCAATAAGGAAGATTGTGCATCCTGAGCCAGAGCCTCTGGCTACCGGTTTTCTGGTTAAATTATTTTCGCTCTTAGTTGTCCCTTTACATTAAAATAGCAGTTGAATAAGGTGTCTTGTGGCTTGCTTTTAAGGTAATGAGCTTCATTTCTTTCAGGTTTCAAGCTATCCAAAACATCAACAGCTTCTGGGTGATTCCAAGGATTAAAGAGTTAAGTATTTTCATTATTAAGTAATTGTTGTTTCTATCAATATGCATTTATAGATTTTATGAAATTTCTAGTAATTCGCTGTTAAATCGGAGTTCCGACTAAAAATCCTAATTTGGATTTACAAGGGATAGCAACATACTCTTCAGGCCTCTCAAAGTAAGAGACCCCTTTAGTTACTGCTCAAGCTGGCAAAGGACTTGTTCCCAGGATCAATACTGCTCTAACTTTACGACCCCAGAGCCCTGGAACCTGAACAGAGCAGCTGGTGTGTAATGGTCAGTGAAGGCTAATTTTAAAGTTGTGTTGTTCTTATATCCTTGTAAAGGTTCCACTTTGCTGTGGAACGCCCAGGGTGTGCTCAGGTATCTTGTAAAAGAGACACTTAGGAAAAGGAAGCCTTGCTGCCAGTAAAAGGGGCAGAATGGTGTGAATCTGTCAGGGACATATAGGAAAAACAGACTCCAGAGATGTCCCTTTCCCTGGGTAGGTGGGCAGAAATCCAGTAAATTCTTGACCTTTGTCATTTCCCACAATCATTGGTGATACTTTGTTCAGATCCATATAGGGAGATTTTTAAATGAATTCTTCCCTTCTGAAATCTGATGATGGTTAGCTTGTGAGAGGAAACTGACAATACACAGTTGTTGGGGGGGGGAACGGACCCACAAACATTACTGTGTGCCTAATAAATGTGACGCCCGGAGAGGCACAGGGTGGCTGAACCTTGCCAACAGCCTTAATGATGGAATACAGGTGCCTAGGCTTCTGTGGCATGGGAGGTGGTTCAGGCTAGGAGGGTTGGAGCTGCAAGGTTACAGCCATCTGTAGTCCTCTTTCCTGGGCACTCAAGGGGATGTGATGTAGAGAGAGGCCTATGTCTGTATTCACTGTTTACTAATGTACACAGATGAAAATTTCCTCTTTTGTAAGCATTTTGGGGGTCTCTGGATAATCAACTCTGAAATGGGTCAAATTGGGTTGGGATATATTTCCCACACTTGTATACCTTGTTCCTAACACAGTGCTTGGCATATAGTAAGTGCACAACAAACATTTGGTGTGCAAAGAAACACCATTTGGTGACATAGTAAAGTATACAGTAATCGTGCTTAGCCGTTTGGTGCTTCACTTATCTACTGTGTGGAACTGGAGATTAAACCCAGGCTCTCGAATGCTAGGCAAACACTCTGCCACTGACCTATATGCCCACCCTTAAAGAGGGATTTAAGCATTTTTTTAAAAGGTACTATTTTAAATTTATCCTTTGTGAATTTCACACATGCATACAATAAATGTCAAATTTCAACATCCTCCAAACTTCATGTCCTTTAAGGTGATATAGACCTGGCTGGCTTTGAACTCACAGAGATCCATCTGCCTTTGCTCATGTGCTGGGCTTAACTGTGTATGCCACCATGCCTGTCTAAAGAGGCTTTCTTAGTCACAACCATCTGTGACTGCCATCACTATTAGCCATGATGTTTTCAATTGTATCTCTAGGTTTGTGGGTTGCTATGTTAATGCTGCTTGCCTTTGGACTATTGCTTCATGAAGTCCCTCTGAGTGGTCAAGATGAGGCTCATTCTGAGGCTGACAGTGTGCCAGGCAAAGCCCTGTATGACTACTCCAGCCTCCGCCTCCCAGAGAAGCACATTCCCTTCTTCTTGCACAATAACAGGCATATTGCCTCTGTCTGCAAGGAGGATTCCCATTGTCCATATAAGGTAGGTCCTATTTCTTCTCATTCATTTTTCTCCTGTCCAGCATGCTAGTTTTAGGGTTTTTTTTATCTGTATCTTTATATTTTTAGGCTAGTTTTTGAGGTAACATACAAAGCAACATGCTTCATGATGGCGTTTTTATACAAATGTTTTCTCACGTTCATACCCTATTCTCACTCATACAAGGATGCAGTTTAGGCTGGCTTGTTATTCTGTTTCATAACTCACAACAAAAGCTGTTTTGTTTTGTTTTAACTTCCTCCATGAGTCAATCACTGTTTTCATTTCATGTAATATTCCTAAGGGAAGAAAATTAGCTTAAAACCATATCCCACTCACAAGAAGGAAATGCAGCATTAAAACCCCTGTGAAAATTAACAGGCAGCTAAAGCGATCTGCATATTCTGAAAATGAACCGCAGGATATTTCAGGAAGAGAAGAATGGTTTGTCAAAGTAAAGAATGTCACACCTCTCCTTTGGGCACTTAGGAAGCTTCTTAGCACTTTATTTCAGTAGTCACACCTCAGCCTTGGCTCCAAACAAGGAAGGCTGTGAGCTTGGAAAGTGCTCAGGCAAAGCCCATTAAGATGTCTCCGGAGCTTTAGAGATCAAAGTGAGGCATTGTAAGACACTTCCTTTCCCATGGTGCTGGCACAGGAAGCATATGGAGTCAGACCAGTATGGCTCTTGGGCCTTGCAGAAGAGTCCTGGCCTCCAGGCCTAGAGAGCTCTGACCTTGTGCTGTTTCTGCTGATCTTGCTGGATGAGTGGAGTCGATGAGCCATCCTTTTCACAGAATCTTCTAGTAACAGAAATTCCAAAGCATGTGGGTTTTGTTTTTTTTCTCCTTCTAGTGACTGATTGTAGAATCAGTTTGCTTTCTGGGAAAGACAGAAGACAGTCCCTTAGGAAACCTCAGGAAACCCTAATTCAGGATGTGTTTGGCAGTCTAACTAGAGTCCGGGCTTTGGTTATGGAGCAGTCATGCAGGAGTGAACAAGGACAATTGTGGAGACTCTCGAGCCTGCCCACCTAAGAATGTAACTGTGAAAGTTCTGTCAAGAAAGGTCCAGAGTTTCCTCTAACCATAGGGAGGAATTCCTCTAACCAGCTGGGAGACAATTCTAAAGGCACACACTTTATATTCCAGAAACATCTAGAACATCTAAACTACTGCTGGGGCTATGAGAAATCCTGCAAACCAGAGTTTCGATTTGGCTACCCTGTTTGCAGCTATGTCGACATGGGATGGTAAGTCTCCTTCTGGAATCCCCTCCTCCTGTCCGAGTCTGTGTTCTTTGAAGTTCGTGTTGATGCCCTAAGTCCCAGCTAGACTCTTTGATTCATAGTAATTCCTGAAGATGTTAGTTTCCTTATCCAGGTCATGAATTCAAACCATCTGTTATTCTGAAAGAATAGCTATCTATGCTCAAGGGGAGCAAAATAAAATTAGTAATTCTAAACACATGGATAATTAGTTGGACAAAGACAACATGGTAAATAGCACTTTCTTTTCTTCAGTTTCAGACGACCCTACTTCATAGATTTCTGTTGTGCCTTTTTATTATAAAGGAATAGTCTGTGAATAACTTGTTTGGTATCTTTATGTACCTAGTGGTAATTTTGGGGGAAACTGTGATAGCATACTTTAAAAAATAAGGTATAAATAGACTTCTCAACTGATAGAAAGAAAATCCAAAGCCAGAAAAAAGAAAGTAGGTGGGGGATCAGGGTGGGAAATTGACTTAACAGTTAAGAGCACTTGTTGCTCTTTGAAGAGGTCCTGGGTTCAGTTCCCAGCACCCACATGGTGTTCACTCCAATTTCAAGGGATCTGATGCCTTCTTCTGACCTCTGTTCCACCAGGCATGTACATGGGGACACATACATACATACATACATACATACATACATACATACATACATACAGGAAAAATGCTAATACACATAAAATAAAGTTTAAATAAAAACAGGAAAAAAAGTCATGCGATCTCTTTCTTTGCAAATAGGACAGACACTTTGGAGTCAGCTGAGGACATGTTCTGGAGACAAGCTGACTTTGGATATGCCCGAGAGCGGCTGGAGGAGATTCGCACACTCTGCCAGCCAGAGAGAACGGTGAGTGTCCAGCTGCTTGAGTAAGCTCGCTTAGTTTTACTGTTTGGTATGTGTTTTATTGTTTAGTTTGTAATGTAAAAACAAGACGGTCCAATACTGTAGCTTCTGTGTATAACCCAGGCTGGCCCCAGACCCACGGTCTTTCTGGTTCATCCTTGGTCCTGGACTTACAGGTGGAAACTAGAGGTAGACTTGTTTCAGTCCAAGCCTGGGCCCTGAACAGCCCTAACAAGCTAGACTCGTTCCACTCATTGTCTATAGGACAAAAGCAGACCAGGACTAGTGAAGAGTAGAGACAGGGGACAGGAGATTTATTCTGTGTGGTCACATTGGGAAGGGAAGGGAAATAAAGTGACTCTCTCAGTAACACCCTCCACCACACACACACACACACACACACACACAGCCCATCCTAGAGTACTACATGAGCTTGAGGTTTTAGTAGAGGCCAGTAGGAATGTGTCACAAAGCAGTCCCAGCAACAGTGTGGTCCTCCCCTCACTGACCCATTGTTGTGTTGGCCTCCGTCTCTCTTGCGGGATGGTCTGACAAGTTGTGAAAACTGTGGGAAATGTCTTTCTAGGAGACAGTTACTGCCCCTGCCCCTCCCCTAACCCTCCTCCTACCCTTCTTCCCCCCTGCTTCCCTTACCACTTTCTTCCCACCCTCTCTTTCCCCTAACCACTCCCTGCTCCCCATGACTGGCACCAGGTTTCAGTCCTTTCCTTCTCCGGACGTGAGATTCCTGAGGAAATTCCAGCTCCTGGGGACGATTGTTTCAGTCTTCTGAGAGGCACAAGAAGAGAATGGATGTCTTCATCCCTGACAGGATGGCGATGGCACCGCCACACCCAGCTCAGAGTTGTGTTCAATGCTCCCAGATAGGTCACTTTGTTTCCCCCAGAAGGCCCTCCCTCCTCTTCATGTCTGTATTAGATAGCTGTATTTTGAGGCAATTAAAATATTTTTAGATTTAGAACCCCCCCAACATGTGTCAAAGAAGAAAACTTGACAAATCTCATCGTTACAGATTATTTGTAAGTTGTTTGGGGGCAGGTACCATGACTGCACCATTACTGATGTGCATTTGTTCAGTCCTGTGTGTATTTCAATTTGCCTGGCTGCTCGTATACAGGAAAGTCAAGGGAGGAGGTGCGATTCCACTTTCAGGGTTGTCTCACAGTGACTTGTGCAGAGCTTTCTTGGATATCACTTTGCCTTGGTGTGTACTGTGCTATCTGCTGGTGACCCCTTTCCTTAGCTCTTTGGGATGCTGTGACAAAGAGTAGAGACTGAAGCCCCAAGATCAACATGTCAGCCCTCTTCCAGACTGCAGAAAGCTGCCTGCCCTTGGGTCACTATGACATGGAAAGAGGAAGGGCACTCTCTGTGGTCTCCTTTAGAAGGACCCTGTAGTGACTCTTTCTGTTGCTGTAACCAAGATAACCGACAGGAAGCAAGTCAGTTTATTCTGGCTCATAGTGTGAGGAGATCCAGTCCATCACAGCTGGGAAGGCCTGGGCACAGGAGCAAGAGGCACCTGATCACATTGTATCAGCTCTCAGGAAGCAGAGAGGAGAAGTGGACAGGGCTATCAAGTCTCCAGGTGTGTTCCCAGTGGCCCGAACCTCCAGCAAGTCTTCATCTTCTAGAGGTTCCACAGTTTTTCCAAACAGCAACCAGGGGTTCAACCACCCAGTCTGAGGGGACATTTTATATTGAAATCAGAGCAGGTACAAATATTTGTGAGGACTCCCCCTCATAATCTCAAAGAGCTCCATCACCTACTACCATCATGGTAGTATGACTGATTGATTTATCTTCACATTTATTTATTTACTTATTTATTTCGGTTTTTTGAGACAGGGTTTCTCTGTATTGTTTTGGAGCCTGTCCTGGAACTGGCTCAATAGACCAGGCTGGTCTCGAGCTCACAGAGATCCGCCTGCCTCTGCCTCCTGAGTGCTGGGATTAAAGGCGTGCGCCACCACCTCCCTGCTCATTTATTTATTTAGTGTGAATGTTCATGGCATGTAAAGGTCAGGAGACATCCTACAGAAGTTGGTTCTCTACTTCTGCCATGGTGATTTACTTTCTTTCTTTGTCTAGGAAACAGCTCAGGTCATCAGGCTTTGGCTTCAAGCCCCTTTGCCCCCTTGAGCCATCCCACCATGCAAGAGTTAGGTTTCAATATGAACTTCCCAGGGATGCAAGCATTCAGTTCATTTGTGACCTCTTACCGAGTAGATTCATAAACACTAAACAGGGCAAGCTTCAGGCCCCCCTTTCACTGGAAATTTTAGGGAAAACAATTAAGTAGCATTCAAGAGCAGAAGTTCTTGAAGCTTACTCTCTTTCAGCACATACTAGCTTGGTTGAAGGAGAGGCAGGCTATGGCTGCTGACTTTTCATTCAGTTAGAACAGCTTACCCTTCCCAACACTTACGGGACGATGTGCAGAAGTACCTCTCATTCAAATTGCAAAATGCCTGCGCAGACTTGTATATGTGCAGCTTCCTTGTTTCCTTTGGCTCCTCCTTAGAAAAGGCTTTTTTCCGTACTTAGGGGTAGAAATAGTTCTTGGGGATTCTCCTTTTGGGGGGGTGGGGGGTACTGAAGTGAATCACGTTCTTGGCTTTAAAACTTGAGGGCTGAAGCAGTGGCTCAGCAGGTACAGGTACTTGCTTCCAAGCCTGACGCCCTGGGTTCAGTCCCTGGCGTCCGTATGGCAGAAGGAAAGAGCGGACTCCTGCAGGTTTCCTCTTACCTCCATGTGTGTACAGAGGCATGTGCACGCATACATAAAATAAGCAAATGTAATTAAAATTTTTTGAATGAAGCCGCGTGTGGTGATATTTGTCTGTGTTCCCAGGACCTGGGGGCTGAAGTAGGAGGAACATCCTGAGTCTAAGCCTAGCCTGAGCTATAGAGTGAGACTCTGTTTTAATATATACACATACACATGTACATATATATGTACACAATATATGTACGCATCTCTATATGTATATATACCTATACACATATAATATAAGGTACATAGGAAGTGATAAACAAGAGCATTTGGGAAAATTGTCATAGTAAGATAAACATATGGAGATATACAGATGTACCCTTGACCAGATGGTGGAAACACAGAAGCAGTGGACATCTCCCTCTGCAGTGAGGTCACACACAGCGCTGTCAGCATGGGCAGCACAGTGAGGCCTCACAGTGCCAATCCCGTTCTCATCTCGATCCTATTTCAGAGCGACTCAAGTCTGGTTTGTTCCCGGTACCTTCAGTATTGCAGAGCTACTGGTCTGTACCTGGACTTAAGAAATGTCAAGAGGAACCATGACAGGTACTTACGTATGCGGTGCGATCATGGTTAAAGCTGAAGGCATTCTGGAGTACTCCCAGTTGCAGGGCTATGTCTTGGGTTTGTTTTGTAGTAAAATGGCTGAAGGGTTAGGGAATAGGTGAGGAATGGGTGACCCAGGCCCTTTATCTGACGATCACATGCCAACTTGGGTCATGGGTATATTGGGTTCCTTGTAGTGTATATATAAAGTCAATTATGCAGCACATGCTTAGAAGTTACAGTCCAAAGAGGGGTGTGGGGATGTGGCTCTGTTGGTGGCGTGCTTGCACTGCATGCACCAGATATGGTGACACATGCTTGCAATCCTAGCATTCAGAAGGTGGAGGCAGGAGGATCAAGAAGTTCATGGTCTCTTTGGCTATATAATAATTTTAAGGTTACCCTGGGTTACAAGGAGACTCTGTCTCAAAATAAAATAAAATAAATCCAGTGGCTGGAGAGAGGGCTCAGCTGTTAAGAGCATTAGCTGTTCTTGCAGAAGATCTGGTTTTGATTCCCAGCACCCATGCGGTGGTTCACCACCTGTAACTCTAGTTCCAGGGCATACGATGCCCTCTTCAGGCCTCCATGGGCACCATACATGCATGTGGTGCACAAACATGTTTGCAGGCAAAACATGCATGCACATGAAATAAAAATAAATAAACCTTTTTTTTCCAGTCTGTTGAAAAATTTGTTAAGAAATTAGGTCCAGCCCAGCAACTTGAGTCATGAGAAATTTTTCTAGCTCAACACTTTTTTTTTTATTCACTAGATTCAAGGAAGATTTTCTTCAGAGTGGTGAAATTGGAGGACACTGTAAACTGGACAGTCATGCCCTGATGTCTGAAGGTCAGCGCAAAAGCCCTCTGCAGTCTTGGTAACATGATTTTGTTCTCTAAAAGTATGTCTCGAAAGCATTTGTGTTTGTTTTGGCACTTTTAGGTTTTGAGATGCACTCTAACGTGGAAAAGGTTACCTAATTTGTACAGGCATGAGCTTCTGAGAAGTGACCGGGGCAGATGAATCCCTCAGTTTAATTGGAACTGAATATTGGTTCATAGAATTTTAAAAAGTAGCTATAGAATTTGCTGTTTGTAAATGAAAGAAAACTTATTTGACGTGAAATATTATTAGTTCACAATTTCTGTATCTGTTTTGGGAAGCACAGTTTATAAAGCATACTACCCCTCCCCCAGGAGCTTGGCTAAAGAAAACTTGAGCTCACTCATCTAACTGTTGTTCAGGTCAGAAAGCAGAGCATTTGAGGCACTATGCACTCCCAACTTCCTCTCTCTGAGGCCAGATGCTGCCCCAACTTTTACCATCATTGATGAGATTTTGAGCTTTAAAACTTTTTAGTTTTTGACTGTTTTAGACTCATGGACATTTAAACACCATGCAGGAGTTTCCCATTGTATTATTGCTCCAGCTTCCTGGAATGATAATGTCTCATTTAACCACAGCACAATTTCCAAAGCCAGGAAATTGTCATTGATACAGTCTTAGTAACCACACATATATGAGCTTCTCCAGTGCTTACATATACACTTATTTTTTTCCAAATGTGTTCTTTAGAAAATTTATATCCCATGTCTAGGGATATGTGACCATTACCCTCGTCAGGATGTGGAATCCTCTGTCACCTGCAAATGCTCATGCATTTCCCTTGTGATCATATGAGCTACTCTTATGTAAAGTTAATTCTTAGGTCATTTGTGCTGGGCAAAACATTAGGAATAATAATCTAATCTGCCTTTATATAGTAGTCGTAATTTTTTTGTGAAAATTTTATGGGGAATTAGCAGATTGTTACAAATAGATGCTTCTTTTATTCTACAAGGAGTTTTCATTCCTAGTTTTATTTTGACATCTGATTCTACATTATAGTTCCTCAGGGTATAATTGTTTTGTTTATTGCCGGGTAACATATTATTCTAAAATATACTCTAGGGCACAGTTATGCTTATTATTTATTGCTGCTACAGATAACCCTGAAATAAAGCAGATAACATGTAGTATTTCACCCTGTTCTGATGTCAGAGTGGGAGCAGCTCGGCAGGGCCTTAGAAGGCTGTAGTCAAGCTGTTGGGTGGGACTATCGCCAGGCCCAGCTAGGGCTTGGAAACTTACTTCCAAGCTCACCCAGACTGTTCTCAGAGCCTGGGTTTCTGTCTGACTGTGGACCTGAGGGTTCAGTTTTCACTCTATGGGTCTCTTGATAGTGCTACTCACACACAGCATGGCAGCCAGCTTCCTCCAGAGCATGTCTTCCTAAAGATGGAAGTTGCAGTGTTGTGTAACCTAACTTCAGCAGTGACATGCTACTGTGTTCTGTTGGTTCAAAGTAAGCCATTGAACTATGACCATTGGGGGGGGCATTAATTTCCATTTCTTTTCTTTCTTCTTCTCTTTTTTTTATACTTTATTTAATTATTCATTTTATGTGCATTGGTGTTAAGGTGTCAGATCCCCTGGAACTGGAGTTACAGACAGGTGTGAGTTGCCATGTGGGTGCTTGGACCTGAACCAGGGTCCTCTGGAAGAGCAGCCAGTGCTCTTAACTGATGAGCCATCTCTCCAACCCTTCTGTCTTCTTTAAAAAAATTTTTTTTTGTAGACTGAGGTTTTCATTGGGATCACCTACCAGCTCTGTCCCGTCAGTCAGCTCCCAAATAACCATACAGAGACTTAATATTAATTATAAATGCTCAGTCAATAACTTAGACTCACTTTTAGCTATCTCTTATAACTTAAATTAATCAATTTCTATTAATCTGTGTGCTATTAATCGTTTACCTCATGTATGTACTTCCCATCCTGCTCGTTTTGTGTCTTGTGGCGTCTCCTCCAACTCTGCTTTTCTTTTCCCCAGCATTCTCTCTGCCTGGAAAAATTCTGCCCAGCCATCGGCCAATCAGCTTTTTATTAACAATGAGAGCAATGCATCTTCACAGTGTACAGAAGGGTTATTTCATAGCATTGTTTTTTAATAACCCGGTATGACCTGGAATTTGTGATCCTCCTGCCTCAGTTTCCTCAGTGCTAGGAGAAGCACTGAGGAGCTCTTGTGGCTGGAGAAACAGCTTAGTGGGTTAAGTGCTTACTGCTGAAGCGTGAGAGCCTGAGCGCTAATCCTCAGCATCCACATAAAACAGTCCAGGCACAGCGGTGCTCATCTGTATCCTTGATGGCTCAGTGTCTGGGCAGCCTGTTGAGCTTGCAAGGTCCAGGTTCCCAGAGAGACCCTGACTGAAAACAGTAGGGTGGAGAGTGATTGAGAAAGACACCCTGGCATCAACCTCCCCTCTATAGATGCAAGGAGAGCTCATTTGTACCAAGAAAGGAAGGAAGGAAGGATGGGGAGGGAGGGAGAGAGGAAGAGAGGAAGAGAGGAAGAAGGGAAAGAGGGAGGGAGAGAGGGAAGGAGGGAGGGAGGGAGACAGGGAGGAAGGGAAGGAAAGAGGGAGGGAGGGAGGGAGAGAGGGAAGGAGGGAGGGAGGGAGACAGGGAGGAAGGGAAGAAGGGAGTGTTTACACCACCACCACGTTTTCACATTGTGTTCTGAGCTGCTCTGTTTGATGTTTCCCTTGAGCTGCAGTCTCACAGGGGCAGCTGGTGACCTTCAGTTAGCTTTAGACATTCATTTTTACATGCTGGTGTTTGTCATTTGTTTGGATGAAAACTGTACCCGTGGCTTCCACAGATGTTTCCCAATCTTGAGGGAAGTTTTCCTGTCTTTTGTCTTTCTGAGTCTCTAGATTGTTTTGGAATATGATCTTTCTCAGAATCCAAGAAGTCTACTGTGCAGGTTTCTATGGCCCACACATTTTTTTCATTTAAGCCTCCAAATGACAGGACACCTTGTTAAGTCTTTTTAATTTTGTGGTGGCCTCCCAATTGTCTTGCAAGTCTTCTGAGTTAGCCTGAATTTTGAAAGCATTTTTGTTCCTTTCTCAACATTAAAGTTGATATTAGAGTCTATAATATCAGCAAATTAGGGAAGGTGTTCCACAGGACTTGCTTAATACTAGAAATAAAATCTGCCTCGTGGGCAGGTCCAGGTTACAGTGTTGCAAAACAGGACGTTTGGAAGAATCACTTTCAAATTATGTCACAATTCACAATTCCAGGTTTGCTGAACTACAAGGCTATACTCAGCTCAATTTCAGACCTATAGAAGATGCTAAATGTGACCTCGTTGTCGAAAAACCAACATATTTCATGAAATTAGATGCAGGTGAGAAGTCACTTTGTTACTTGTATATTGATTGGTAAATCTATTTTTTTTTTAAGAAAAAGGTGTTTGTTTTATTTTATGTGTATGGGTATTTTGCCTGCATGTGTGTCTGTGCTCCACATTCATGCAGTGCCCGTGGAGACCAGAAGAGGTCTCTGGGTCCTAGGAACCAGAGATTCAGATGATTGTGATCTACCATTCCTGTGCTAGAAACTGGCCCAGGTCCTCAGCGAGAGTGGCCAGTGCTTTCAACCACTGAGCTGTCTCTTCAGGCCCACGTCTATTTGTTGACATGCTTTGAGTTGTTTTCTGTCAATTTGTTGAAAGCAGTGTGGTAAACACCGGCTCTTCCTATTCTAGCATAGATGAACTGGTTTCAGCTTCCTGTTATCTTACACCTTTGGTATTCTAGAAGAAATCATCACATTTATGTGAAATGATTCCATCAGTCAAGATGAAAGAAAGTGGCCTGCGTTTGCCTTTTGCAATTAAATTTACCCTGTCTGATTTCTCTAAACTCTTTCATTACATTTATCACTTTTATTGCATTTATGTTTCATTGTGTGTGTGTGTGTGTGTGTGTGTGTGTGTACTTAAATCAGCATCCACGGGTAAACTGTGAGTGGGAAATGCCCATCCCTTCTCATGGTCAACTTTCTGTAACCAAATGAACTTAAAACTCTTTTGGAAGTTAGCACTGCAGTATATTCTTGAAAAAAATAAATCAGATTTATTTTCTCATCATGCCTTCAGTGCTAGGTCTTGGCCTGCAAGCATAACTTTAACTCTGGCAATTAGCAGCCCTGGGAAGGAGAGGCATAGTACATGTTATATTATCCCTCTCATTATGAGAGATGGAGATTGCTGTACTATGTCCTATCAAAATTCATGAGTGGCCTGGCCTACAGTGAAATATAGAGAGCCCTCTGTCACGAATAGTTGAGAATTACCATAATTTATTGATCATGGTTTTAATGTGCTCTGCCATCTGAAGTCATAATTCTTATATTACAAAGTGTTGGTTTCAGAAAGCAGACAAGTTTAGCTTTTTGAAATAAAAGCAAATTTAAAATGCTGTGTTCAAGGTTCTGACTTTTTTTAAATATGCAAATGAAAAATGGCAAAGGAAATACAGTGATCTTGCTGTAAAGGAGTGTGTGTGAAGCATGAAATTTATGCAGATCATATGCAATAAAACATGTATGCAGACCATGTGCAGTAGAGTATGTAACGTGGGGATGGATGGGCCAAGATAGACACGTGCCATTTCTTTCCTATATTTCTTACTCAGCCTTTCCTTCTAACTCACACCATCATCCGATTTTCTTTGCTTCCTAACTCTTTCTTTGGGACAAGGAACATAACAGAACTTTTACTCCAGCCTCACTTCTCCAGCTTGAAGCAAGCTTGTGTTTGCTTCCTCATTTTAAATCCTCACGACCCCAGACACTGACATGCATTCCAGAGTAAATGTTAGGGACTCCCTAAATGTTATGGGACAGCTACAGTAAGCTGTAGGGAAAGGGGACATTCACAAACGCAAGCTTTCCCTGTTAATTTAAAAATAGGCTCTTTGCTAAGATTTTTCTGAGTCACAAAATGGTTTCTTCCAGGGATGGCAAGATGTCTGAATGGGTAAAGGCACTTGCCACCAAGTATGCCAGTCTTCGTTTGATCCCTGGGACACATATAGTAAAAAGGGAGAACTAACTCCTGCATGTTGCCCTATGACTCCACACACACTGTGGTGTGCACACACACACATAAATAGATAAATGTAATTAAGGAGAAGAAGGTGGCCCTTGTAACTGTTTCCAGACTGGAGGGTCTACTCCTCTTACTTCCCGGCACTCTGTGTTACTGTGGGAATGAAGTCAGGGTGTTTCATGGTTTCTGCCTTTGAGAGTCACTGATTTTCATGAAATGTGTGTTTTATTCGTTACTTCACAGGAAGTCATCCTTATATTTGTACAATTTCCAGGCTGACTCCTGGGTCTCATATACCTAAATCAAAAGTGTGATATGTCTTTTTTCTTTTTTGTCTTTCTCCCTTCTTTCCTTTCTCCCTCCCTCCTTCCCTCCCTCTCTCCCTCCCTCCCTCCCTCCCTTCCTTCCTCCTCTCCTCCCTACACCCCCCTTTTTCTCTTTCCTTCTCTTATTTTTCCTCCTCTTTTTCATTGTTTGCTGAAGCAGGGTTTCTCTGTATAGTCTTAGTTGCCCTGTAACTTGCTCCATTGACCAGACTGGCCTTGAACTCAGAGATCCACCTGCCTCTGCCTCCGGCCATAATTTCTTTCTTACATTTATTTATTTAGTGTGAGTGAGTGTATACATGTGCACAAGCATGCTACTACTGAATTTGTTGGGTTTAGAAGACAACTTTCAGTTTCTGACATGGGGGGGGCAGGGTTTGATCTCAGGTCATCAGGCTGGGTGGTCTCTGTTTTGTGTCTTTCTAATGACTGGCATAGAAATTAAAAATAGCTACAGCTGCTGCTGTACTCTGACCTACTAAGCTCCTGCCCGTCTTCATGAAGGTCTCACTGTGTGCCAGGCACTTGAAGATGCCATCCTGTCTGACTTCATCCTGAGAAAGCTACACACTTCCTTACACATTCCCCATCTCTAGAAACAAAGCTCTAGTTTAGAGACTTGTCTGGGGATGCTGCCTACGAGCTACTGAGCCAGACTCAGCTCAGTTTTTTAAACTCCAGCCTTCACACTCTGGTAGTTAGAACAAGAGACACTCACCTATTTTGAGTAACAACTGCTCAGTATTACCCCAAGAGCAGTGTAAGCAGGGGCTGGAGAGTTAGCTTAGCCATAAAGCACACTGGCTGCTCTTCCAGAGGATCTGGGCTTGATTCCCAGTACTCACATGGCAGCTCACAATGGTCTGTGTGATTCCAGTTCCAGGAGATCCAATGTCCTCTCCTGGCCTCCAAGGGTACCAGGGATGGGTGTGTTGCGCAGACATACTTGCTGGTACAACACCCACATGCAAAAAGACTTTGAAGGAGAATAATATAAGAAGTGATTAAACAGGGAAAAACACACACGAATTGAAATCCACTGCAATGTTAGTGTCTGTGATTATTGCCCGTGCTTCTGTGGACTGATGTAGTTTGGATGATTTAAAACAAACAAAATGGATAATCAGAAGGAGTGATTAGTCATTGTGGCTGGATGGCCCCTCATGCTGCATTAAACAATCCTATGTGGTCCCTCCGCCCCGGAACTTAATGCTCTCTTATCCCCTGATGTGTAGGAGAAAATTCATTCCTGATTTCCAAATAATCAATTTTGAAAGTAAGATTTTGAGCTTGACACTTCTTCAAGTTGACAAGTACCTGTGTCTAGCCCATACTTAGGAGAGACATGTTCCTTCATTGATTTTAACTAAAAATAAAAAAAACAGAACTGTAAGCAGATAGAACAGAATAAAAAAGTCTCTGGGTTGTGTGCTCTGCACTTGTTTAACATGGCTCCTCTTTCCCAACACCAGGTGTTAACATGTACCATCACTTTTGTGATTTCCTCAACCTCTACATCACTCAGCATGTGAACAACTCTTTCAGTACAGACGTGTACGTCGTGATGTGGGACACCGTAAGTAAGGGCCCGCCCTCTCCTGTTGTACCAGCTCTGACTTGCTCTTCCACGGTGTGCCTGTGACCTTGCGAGACAGACGTTTCTAAGACGCATGTTTGCATACATGCCATGGACTGACACATGTGTAGATGTGCTCAGACGTGTTTCTGTGGGCCCCTGACCTATGCTTGGGCACACTTGCAGGCACGTAAGGATGTTCAGTCCTTTGCTGATGTTACTGTTCTGTTGGATGTTGATTTTATTTAAGGCAGGGTCTCATGTAGCTCGGGTTAACCTTGAGTTGACTATGCAGCTGAGGGTGACCCTTTTCTGCTCTTGCAGATTGCTCAGGTTACAAATATGGTGCTGGGATTGAACTCGGGGCTTGCTGCATGCTAAGCAGACACTCTACCAATTGAGCCACGTCCTGTCCTGGGGATAAGTGTGATCCTGAGCACCTTGAATTTCAAAATGGAGTAGTGAAATTTCCTTCCCTTTGGCATAGATGGGGTTCCCAAACACAGAGTTCCAGTGTCTGCCTCAGTGCTCCTCTGAGACATGAAGCCTCTGTGACTCAAGGCAGTAGTCCTTTTTCTATTTTCTTTGCCCTTTGGACTGTTACCCCCCCCCCCCAGCTCTGGGGCCAGAACCCAGAGCCTCATTCATGCTCAGCAAAAGCATGCGCTCCACCACTGGGCTACACCCCAGCCCTATCTTTTGCTTAATAGCAGCTTTCCTGCCACAGTCAGCTTGATGCTAAGTGGCCTGTTTTTTAGTTCACTATCTAGGGTGACTCTTACATATGTATCTAAACCGGAAGCACTGACGTCTGGAAACAGCTGGCATGCACATGCACCGCCAGCATTTTCAGAAAGCAGAACACACGGACTAATTCATAAATAGTTCTGCAGACGAGGAGAAAGCATTCGCTGACCCTACTTCATAGCAGTAAGCCTACAGGATAGGGGTCGCCGTAGCCGTGTCTCGGAACTCTGGGGTGACCCAAAGTCCTTGGGACACTGGCTCTACATTCTTGGCATGCTTCTGCTTTCTTTATCTCTTGCTACACACACTTGCTTCCATTTCCGCCTTGAGTCCATTTTATGGTCACTTCAGTTTCATTTTCTTGGCAGTGTTTCTGTGAGCAAAGGGGACAGTGTCCTCTTTTCTTCCTTTTGCTTAAGTGGGCCACAGCTCTCATAAAGCATCTCTCAGCAATTCTGCAAGACTTTAAAAAGAAATTCCTTAAAAAAAAATCACATCCTCACAGTGGGGAATTTGGATCAGGATTTTTAATCCGTGTATTTTACACATGGGTGAGTGTTCTAAGGTAACCTAGTGAAGGGTGGAGCCAAGGATTCTAGCTGGGCCAAGGGGACACTTTCTGTATAGTCCTCTGAAGAACTTGTGAGGTAAAGAGAAACTTTTCACACACATTCTAGAAGCTTTTTCATACCATCTTGCATGTCTGTTTCCATCTTCCTTAAGTGGTCCGACTTAAAGTGAGCTAGCTTCTAAACATCCTGCGTGTTGTGTGTTTGCATGGTCACCATGAAGATCCCTGCCAACAAGACACATGGTTTTCAGGCAGCATGACTGTCATTCTGTACAGATAAGTGGCATGTTTGTAGGTGAGCAGTGTGGTTGGCATCCCCATGTTACCCTGTCCTTTGCTGGTCCTCTAACTTTTCCCTTATAAATCTCCCCTCTAGGAGGACTTTTCTGTCTCACCAGACAGTTCCCCAGTAACTGGGCAGAGACTTATCATTAATTATAAATGCTCAGCTAATAGCTCAGGCTTGTTGCTAGCTAATGCTCACATTTTAAATTAACCAATATTTCCTACCTATGCTATGCCACATGGCTCGGTACCTTTTCTCGATACGGCAAGTTCATCTCCTGCTTCCTCTGCATCTCCTCGAGACTCCTGAGATGTCTCTTTCATCTTCTTCTTTGCACTTTCTTTTTGTCTGCAAGTCCCACCTAACCTTTATCTGTCCAGCTATTAGCCAGTCAGCTTCTTTATTAAACCAATCACAGTGACATATATTTGCACAGTGTAAAGGAATATTTCACACTCCCCTCTTGGTCAAAGAATGCCTAACTTCCTAGTCAAGTTCTTCATATGAGTAGTTTTGCCCAGTTGCTCCAGAATCCAGTGCATAAAAGCCTTTAGGTTGCCTAGGACTGTACTATGTGACTGTATTGTTCACAGTTGAGTTTTTTTTTTTTTTAGCAAAGCCTTAAGTCAGTGGTTCTCAATCTATGGTTCATGACCCCTGTGAAGGTCAAATGACCCTTTCACAGGGTCACCTAAGACCATCGGAAAACACATATATTTACATTATGATTCATAACAGAAAAATTACAGTTATGAAGAAGCAACAAAAATAATGTTATGGTTGGAGGTCACCACAACATGAGGAACTAAGTTAAAGGGTCTCAGCATTAGGAAGGTTGAGAACCAGTGCCTTAAGTTAACAACACTGATACTGTCACACTTACTGCCAAAGGGAGGACGTTAAGATGTTATTTCACAGAGCTCAGTGCTGTGACTGTCCCCTTGAGGTACTCAGCACCTAAATCATAGAAGGCCACTTCTTTTCTGGTGTTGAGGATTTGGAAGATCTTTGCTCTCACTTTTTATTTATAGAAATAACAACTCATTATCATGAGGTCAAGCAATGTGGAGGCATGTGAGGTTTTCTTGTCTTTTAAAGTCATTTCATTGTCCCCTTAAGGCTGAAACAGTTAGCTTATGTATAAGTTTGGACTTTTTATCTGAATAAATGTAAATACATCCTTAAGCAAAAATTTATCAGGACTTGCATCAAGATCTTATATGCATATCATTTATATAAAGACTTATTTATATCATTATTTAAAATACGGTCTGAGGTTACAAGGGCATCTTTCCATGTCCTTTTTGAGTGGTGGCAGCATTTTTCCACTTGACTGATTTCCTGCATGTGTTTATCTCTCTTCACCCCATACTTCATTTGTTTCTGATTCTGAGCTATCTATTGGATGCTATAAACACCTCTGCCATATGCAATATTCTCCCTGTATCTATGGGGGATTACTGACAAGGTCCACTCTGGACACCCAAATCTTTGGATGCTCAAGTCCTCTGTGTTAAGTAGTATAGAATTGCATGTGACCATGCATATCCTGCTGGATGCTCTGAAACTACCTCTAGGTTACATACCCCAGTACATGCAAACAATCATTATATTATAGTAGTGCAGAGGAAAGGTCTGTATATATTCCACAAAGACACAGTTATTTTCTGAATAATTTCTATCAGTGTGAATGAACTGTCAGGTCTAGAGGGCTCACTGTGTCCTTCTCTTCAAACTCTCATCCTCATTACTTCTGTGGGCAGAGTCCTGAAAGTTGTGTTTGTATGTGTGTGACGCTGGGCATGCTCAAATTTGAGGCCTACACTGGAGGATTTTCTTTTTCTTCTTGTTTTTTTCCCTTGAGGGAAAACTCAAATATTCTTCAATGTGAGGTGGGAAGTCACTCCTCCCTCCACTCTGCTGGGTAATTTGAATTTGTTTCTGCATGTGGTTATTCTCAAATAATTCACAAATTTCCTGGGAAGGGGCCAGGCAGAGTCACTCTATTTTATTGTTAAAATTCCTTTCAGATGTACCTTATTTTATCTAGAGTATTTTATCTCAAGAAACTGTAAGTTTACCTCTTTGAGTTGGTCTTTATTTATGGAGCAACAACAGGACAGTTTGATTGTAGATGGTCTTAAGGGTCTTTACTGGAATGTTGCTGGAGAAACACCCAGGGAAAACATTTATGAGCATGAAGTCTGACCACAGACTGAGTTTGACCACAGCCCTGTAACTCACTAACTCTACAATTTAGACGAACTATTTGAATTTCTGTACAGTTTCTTCATGAATAAAATTAGGCAAAGGACATCAACTTGCCCATTAGAGTTGCAGGGGTGTTTGCTGAATTAATAATCTAGACCATGTATAGTGCCTGGGACATGGTGAGAATCCCAGATATTGTTAGTGTTATGTGTTGTATTATGTGATGTTACTAGTGGCATTATTAATGTGAATGGAATATTGTCACATTATTCATTATTCAATGGGGAGAATTTTCATTTAGTGTTTAAGTTTTCTTGATTTGCATTTCTTTCCAAACATAATCGACTTACTATGATGGACTTTGCTCAGTGAACATATTATTGTGTGTACAAATGGTGTCATATGTGTGTGTCCTCTTAAGCATTCTCTTGTGACAGTAACTTGTTGTTTCTGCCTTCAGAGCTCTTATGGATATGGTGACCTGTTCTCCGATACCTGGAAAGCATTTACTGATTATGACGTCATACATTTGAAAAACTACGATTCCAAAAAGGTACTGGAAACCTATTGAAATGTCTTTAAGTAATTGTCAGGTGCAAGTGACTCATATAATAAATATTTAATTTGAATTTCTCTTGGCTGTTACCATTGATTTCTGACTTCTTTTTTTTTTAATTGTAGCTAGAATTCTTGGAAATAAACCTTCAAACCTTCTTCCTATACTCTTCCCAAAAATATGAATTTTATTTTCTTTGACATAGTTTGCTAGTTAGACTATTTTGGTATAAGATGGAGAAGTGTTAAAATTTATTTTCTAAAATGAGGACTGTTGTTTTGGCGTGAAAAGTGCACACTGTCTGTGCTGTCCTGTGAAGGTTGCACACTGTCTGCTGTCCTGTGAAGGTTGCACACTGTCTGTGCTGTCCTGTGAATGTTGCACACTGTCTGCTGTCCTGTGAAGAGTGCACACTGTCTGTGGTGTCCTGTGAAGAGCGCACACTGTCTGTGCTGTCCTGTGAAGGTGGCACACTGTCTGTGCTATCCTGTGAAGGTGGCACACTGTCTGCTGTCCTGTGAAGGTGGCACACTGTCTGTGCTGTCCTGTGAAGAGTGCACACTGTCTGTGCTGTCCTGTGAAGAGTGCACACTGTCTGTGCTGTCCTGTGAAGTTTACACACTGTCTGTACTGTCCTGTGAAGGTTGCACACTGTCTGTGCTGTCCTGTGAAGGTTGCACACTGTCTGTGCTGTCCTGTGAAGGTTGCGCACTGTCTGTGATGTCTTCTAAACTGTCTTTCTTCCTAGGTGTGCTTTAAAGAAGCTGTGTTTTCGTTGCTGCCCCGCATGCGGTACGGGCTGTTCTATAACACTCCGCTGGTAAGCATCTGAGATGACCTTCCTATGTTTTTAGAGATCGTCTGAGATCCCAGTGCAGGAGTAACATGACCTGGTGCTTTTGTTTTAGATCTCTGGCTGTCAGAATACTGGGTTATTCAGGGCCTTCTCCCAGCATGTGCTGCATAGGCTGAACATCACTCAAGAGGGACCCAAGGTAATGGATATGTTATGGATTCTGAGTAGGCTTGCTTATTCATCTCTAATCAATGCTGCCTTTGGGGAGAAACACACAGCCAGGAGGCAGTGTTTGTTATGATAATGTTGCCTGATCTGGAGTCCTCTGAATTCCGGAGTCAGCAGCCACTGAAGATAAGCTAAAGTGTACTGAACGAATATGCTTTATACGCCTAGTCTTTGCCTATTTCTTTTCCCATATCTAGCTACCTTCTCCTATTTAACTCCTATAATCCCTGCTGAAAACAATCTACCCTACTGACCAACAGCCTAAGTAATAGTGTAATGAGCAGGTTTTTGTCTTCCATGGCATAAGTGAGTACACTGATGTGTATTCCTAATTGACATATACTTGTGCACATTTCTAGGGTGCAGTGTTATATTTTGACATAGTGTAATTATCAAAGCATTTGTGTTACCTCAAGCATCAATCATGTCTTTGTTGTGGCAGCATTCCAAGTCTTTTCTCCTAGCTTTTTGGAAATAGACAATACATTATTGTTAAGCCCTGTAACTCTACGGTGACATTGACAGCAGACCTTAATCCCCCAGTGTCTGTAATGTGTCTCTAGTAACTACCCTGTCTGTTTCCTTTCCCCCATCCTTCCCAGTCTCCAGCACTCTAGTCTATTCTCTACCTCTCTGGTGTTCTCCACTATCCTATTGTATACATCTATGTATTCATCTATTGTATACATCTATGTATACATCTATTGTATACATCTATGTATACATCTGTTGTATACATCTATGTGTACATCTATTGTATACATCTATGTATACATCTATTGTATACATCTATGTATACATCTATTGTATACATCTATGAGGTCAGCTCTTTTAGCATCTGCATCTGAGGGAGAGCATGCAGTATTTGTTTTCTGTACCTGGCTTATGCTAACATAATGCCTCCCATTTACCTCTACGCTGCACTAAGTGATGGATTTTGTTCATTTGTATAGTTGAGTAACATTTCTGAGATAATGGTTAAGGAGTCAGCCGAATCTTCACCATTCTCTAAGTATGTCCTCAGTGAGTTTTACCTCTCTGGGAAATTGCATTTGAGATTTAGGGTTCATTTTATTTTGTCTGAACACATCCCATATTATTCCAACTTTTCATTTTCATCATAGGATGGGAAAGTTCGAGTTACCATTCTTGCACGCAGTACAGAATACCGGAAAATACTGAACCAAAACGAGGTTAGTGCTTTGGTGTAAACTTTTAACACAATGACTCTGCCTCCCATGGCTAATGTACTGTGCTTTTTCATATTGCATTAACAGTTTTTATTTGAAACTGTTGGTTTCCAGAGATACCTATGCTTATTGTAAGTACTGTCTTTCTCTTCTCCAAACTCCCACCCCATCCAGATCTGCTTTATTGTAAATGTACACCCGCACCAGCTCTATGTAAAATACAGGCAAAACCAAAGCCAAACAAACCGTGAGTCCTGCCTGGACTGCAGCAGGAGACTGAACATTCTCCCTCCAGGCAAACTAGTAACAACATGCAAGCATGCCTTTTCGGAGATGACTGATGTCACTTGGTGTTTCTGTAGCATCCGGCAACACATACAATTGGAAGAGATTCCATCCATTTGGATGGCTGAATGTCTTGGAAACTGCTCCTGGGCATCCAATTCATTTATTTCATCAGAGCAAGACCATAGATTGCATTCTGCCTCATTCTGGGCAGATAATCAAGGAAGCCTGGGCCTAAGACTGTTGTTCCACTGTCACAGCAGATAGATGCAAGAGGAGGTTGGACCCAGACCATCAGGAAAGGGCAGGTCAGGGAATAGCATCAAGCCAGGGGGAAGTAAGTTCAAGGAAAGGCACAGTTGCCAGCACCTGCTGTGGTGCTGGCCCTAACACTTTCAGACTCTATGGGCAAACTGCACGATTGTTTGGAGGTGAGATTACTAATTCAGCTCCCAATGGCATGCCCAAGAGTGCCCAGCATGCTGCTCTTCCTCCAAGACAGGTTATGGTTATGGGTTCCAAAGTGTATGTATGACAAGGGCAGCAGTACTTTGACTACACTGATTAGTAAACAGATAATAAGACTCAGGCATGTGTAGCCCAGGCTGACTTTGACCCACAATGTAGGCTGGTCTTGAACTCACAATCCTACTGCCTCAGCCTCATGAGTGCTAAGAGTACAGCCTGGCTCCCAGGTGGTCTGGTTAAATGATGGTGACCACAAACTTGCCGCAGTACAACGTTTGTTGAGATAATCAAGCGTGGTTGGGAATTAGAGAGAGAACGCACTCCAGGACTCTCAGACACACGGAGTTCCTTTGATGTGAGTCCACCTCATTAAATGACTGAATCTCATGCCACCTAATTAATTCTCTCCTGGGGGAAAGGTGGCTGTTTGTAGAGGGAAGCCTCCATCTTGTGACTGCACGTGTGTTGTGCATACATGGGTATACAATGGAGTGACTAATTAGATTGCATTCAACAATTCATGTGCATCGCTTAAGAACAGAGATTGTGTGGTGAGAGGAGCAGGATTTGGTTCCCTCCATCCTCTCCCCCAATCCCACCCCTGCACTCCCCCCACTCCCCCCATCCTGCTTCTGTAACAGGGATAGAACCAAGAGCCTTCTTCATCGTGGGCAACCTCTCACCACCGCTTCTACTCCCTGCCCAGATCAATGCTTTCTGTAACCTTTGATGTTGCTGTTGTGTAGGACCACCTGGTAGAGATGCAAACCATCAGTGTCAGGTTCCAGTTCGGTGAGGGACATGCAGAACCGTGACGCTGCTTTAATAGGCACATTACTCATACTCTGTAGCTTTCTGTCTGCCAGAATAATAGCCAAAAGTGATTTTAGAATTATATAGAAATAGCATTTTGTTTTCTGCCGATACTTCGGTATTTCCAGAGGATGAGGGCCAAACTCCTTATGGTTTGTTTGGAATGAGCCGTTGGAAAGAGCCATCTCAGCCTGGTGTCTGGAGCCTTGTGTCCTCTCGGCCTTGAAGGACCCAGCTGCTCTGAAATTATGGGGAAATAGAGTAATGAAGTCAAGAGATAGGATCAACATTTGAATTCAAATGAGCTCTAAAGTAATAGACATAAGTGATGTCTAATGGTATACAAATTTTTACCTGCAAAAAATTAATAAACTTTGAGAGTTGAGCTCAGTGGGTAAGTGCTTGCCACACAAGCCTGAAAACCTTAGATTGACCCTCAGAACCCATTATATAAGATGTGGGCTTAGGGACTGGAGAGATGGCTCAGTGGGTTAGAGGGCTTTTTGTGAAAGCAAGAGGACCTACGTTTAAATTGCCAGCACTGATGTAAAACCCAGGCATGGCTGCTTGTGCCTATAACCCCAATATTGGGTTAACAGCAACATGCAGATGCCAGGAGCTCACTTGCCAGCCAGCTGAGCCAAAGCAGTGAGCTTCGTTCAGTGAGAGATCCTGTCTCAATATTAAAGAAAAAAGAGACTAGAAAATTGGCTCAGTCGATAAAATACCTGCTATGCAGCTATGAGGACCTGAGTCTGGATCCCCAGAACCCACATACAAAAGCCAAGAGTGGTAGAATTCTCCACCATGGCACCAGGAGGTGGGGATGCCCAAAGCTCACAGACTGAGCAGTCTGAATTGGCGAGCTTCTGGCTCAGGGAGAGCATGTCTCAGGAAATACAATTGGAGAATCATGAAGGAATGACACCTGCTGTTGCTCTTGGGTCTCCAAATACATAACATACCTTCACGCACAGGTTCACAATCCACACTGATATGTATAACACACACACACGCACGCACGCGCGCACACACACACACACGCACGCACATACACGCACGCACACACACACACGCACACACACACATACACGCACACACACACACGCACACACACACACGCACGCACATACACGCACGCACACACACACACACACACATACACGCACGCGCGCGCACACACACACACACACACACACACACACACACACACATCAGGTATGGCTGGCTCCAGGGCAAATGAAGTAGATACTATTTCTGAGTAACAACATGTGAAGCTGTCCTCTGTACACCGGGGTACTATATAAACCAGGACACACACACAAACAAAACAAATTTTAATTAAAAGACTTTAGGATTCATCAAGGAAAGCAGAAAAAAATAATTCTACGTGTGCTTCTTTTTTTCCAGCTGGTAAATGCACTGAAAACCGTATCCACATTTGAAGTTCGGATTGTTGATTACAAGTACAGGTGAGCCTCAGCCCGGGAAGATGCTGTCACCCCTAGATTGAGCCACTCACTGGTGGGGACAGAGCATTTCTGCAGTGGGCACTCTTGGCATTTATAGATCAAGAAGTGACACTCAGACACTATCATTAAGCAAAACAGGGTAACAGAGGCCACAAGTTCAGGGGCACTATTGAGCTTCCTGAAGTCTCCTGTTCAGGTACAATTTTATTTTTCCTGAGAAATAATGAACCCAGATTTTCACTTGAAATATCTGCATTTTTTAAAGATTTTATTTATTTATTATGTATACAGTGTTCTGCCTGCATGCTAGAAGAGGGCACCAGATCTCATTACAGATGGTTATGAGCCACCATGTGGTTGCTGGGACTTGAACTCAGGACCTGTGGAAGAGGAGCCAGCCTCTGAGCTATCTCTCCAGTCCCAGAAATATCTGAATTTTTAAAAAGTTAGCAGCTGCTATTAAGTTTTAACATATGCCCACATATATACATATATCCACATACATAGATATGTTCATATACACACCTATGCAAATATCTCTATATTATATATATGGCCTACTTTACCCTATTTGCTAATGGATTTCAACTTTGAAGGCGATGAATTAAAAAAGGAAACTTATAAAAGGCCTAAGCTGCTGTGTAGTAATTCCTGTTGGTTTGAGAGCAGTCACTGTAGTGGCGGTACACCCTCCAGGTAGAAAAAGTCTAGCAGTGTAAGATAGGTACCCTGCAGAGGTTACCTATCATAGATGTACTTCCTGCAGCTGCACAGGCTTGGGAGTGCTTTACCTCACTCATCAGCTCCTACTTCCTAAGGGGATGAATCCTTAAGGCTATGAGGATGAGCTGGCCACCGGGCTTCAAAGGTGAGATCCAGGTGTGGTGGACAGTGTGCCTCTTGTGGGGAAGACCTCAGACACAGAATAGAGAGATCCGTCAGACCGTCTCTGCATGTGAAGGCTTTCTCTCACCTTACAGCTAATGCTCTGAGGATGTTAATGCTCCTCTGTTTCACACAGTACACTGTGCTGTGGTGGCTTCTTCCATAGGCAAATGAGGACATACATGTGTGGTTAAGACTTAACCTGAAGGAACCAGAGAGGCACCTCTGATTCTGGGCCATTGCCTGCTTTCATGGCTATCTGAGCATTTTCCTGGTGAATCAAGGAAAATAAATCCATACCTTGTCCGTCTGCAGTGACCATTAACAACTGGTTAGCACTGGCATCTGTGACTGCCAGTCCATGGTGGTTCTCCAGCTGGCGTGTCCAAAGAATTTACCTGTGTTTACCTGAGCAAATGATCTGTTTTAGCTTCCTTTTTCACTGCTGTGATTTAAAAAAAAATGCCTTGGCAAAAACAACCTAAGAGAGTAAGGTTTATTTGGCTCATGATTCCAGGCTGCAGTCCATCATTTCAGGGAGTCCAGGCGTAGGAACTTGGAGTAGCTAGTTACATTACGTTCACAGTTTCAGAGCAGAGAGCAGTGAATTCCTGTCTGCATGCCTGCTCTCCCCTTCCCATTCAGTCTTGGGCCTGGCCATGAAATGGCATCGCCCATATTCAGGGTGGGTCTTTCCACCACAATTAAGCAGTTAAGAAAACCCCTCACACTATACTTACGGGCCAATCTGATCTAGACACCCTTTCTGTGTGATTCCACAATGGGTCAAATTCGTCAGACTTAACCATCACACCGTCCTTACCTGGACAAACAGACACCTTTCCCTACTGTGAGACACACAGAAAGATTGTCTTCCTTTTCTGTTTCTTTATTTTGTTTTTGGGGTTTTCAAAAGCTTTTTAAGAAAGAATTTACCTTTCCTTCTTAGATCTTTATCATCCTCCACTTTTGGTACAGTGGGCCTGTATCGAAATAATCGATGATTATTCAGTGTCCCCTTACACCTGCCCCCCCCAATATTCTAGTTATCATTCCTAGCCTCACTTCAGTACATTTCTGTGGCCTGATTTCCAGTGGACATGTTTGCATCTGCTGGTGTCACAGGCATAGACCAGAGTCTGCCTGGTTCTGAGAGGGTAGGAAGGGAGGCGGAGGATGAGGATGCAGTGACCTTTTATGGGTTATTGAATATCTGCCTTTTCCAGTTATGTATGGACCTGCCCCCCCCAGCACCCACACACACATGGTTTTCTATTCTCACACTCCGCTGCTATCTTGACTTTAAAGAACAACCGTCAAATCTTAGTCTCCTGCAAAGACAGACAATGGCTTGTTGCATCTGAGATCATCTTAGATATGTGGTGTTGAGTAACTCACATCACATAATTTATTCTCTTTCTTACATTATTGTTTTCTTGTATGTGAATGGGCATTTAGCCTGCGTGTATGTATGCCTGCGTACTGCATGTGTGCTGTGACCGAGGGAGGTGGGAGAGTGTTTCGAATCCCCTGGAACAGAAGTTGCTGATGGTTGTGAACTGCCGTGTAGTTGATGGGAATTGAACTCAGGACCTCCGGAAGAGCAGCCAGTGCTCTGACCTGCTCAGCCATCTCTCTGGCTGGCATTCTTTTATTATTTAACAGGAGTAATTTTCAGCTGGGGAAATCTCCTTAGCACTTGCTCATTTCCCTTTTCCAGGAAGAGTAAAGAGTAGGCCTTCCTGCTAGGAGCCCTGCTCTGCAGTCTTACCTGCCTACCTTTGAATGGTACCTTTTATTTGAACTATACCTATTTTTGTAATTATGTTGATATCATGGGTCATGATTTTCTTATTAATGTTCTCTTGAAAAACATAAATAAAAGTTTGTGTGGTGATTGATATATTGTTTATGATCTAGTAAAGTTTGCCTGGAGATCAGAATGCAAAGCTAGCCACAGTCTTGGAAACTGGTAGTGGAGGCACACACCTTTAATTCCAGGACTCAAGAGACAGAGGCAGATGGATGTCTGTGAGTTCAAGGCCACCCTGGGATATATGAGAGTGAATCAGTCTAAAAGAGACACAGAGATCATGCCATTAATCCTGGCGCTAGAGAGTACATAAGGAGCTCAGTGCAGTCTCAGTGAGTCTGAGGAGCAGTGCAGTCAGGGGCAGTGTGAGGTTCAGGGGATCGTCCTTTCAGTCTGAGCCTTGGTAGAGGTGAGAACTCTCTAGTGATTGGCTGCTTTGCTTATCTGGTCTTCAGCTTGAACCCTAATATCTGTCTCTGACTTTTTATTATTCATGCTACAAGTTTGTGCTTAAAGGATGTGTTTAGTTATCAAAGAATGAATTAAGTTATTAGATACTGGAGTGCACTTGAAGTTGTCATAACGGCACAGATGTGGAATGTGACACAAGTGTGTAAAGACTGTCACTGTGGATCATGAACTAACTCGCCTCTCTTGTGTTGTCCCACGTTGCAGAGAACTCGGGTTTTTGGATCAGCTGAGGATCACACACAACACGGACATATTTATAGGCATGCATGGAGCTGGCCTTACCCATTTACTTTTCCTCCCAGACTGGGCTGCTGTATTCGAGCTGTAAGTATAGGTGGTGGCTTTCCATGGAGAGCAAATGAGCCAGCTAAGAGTTTCAATCTGGCCATTAGCTGACCGTCAAGCTACATCATGGTGATATCTGGAAAGGAAAGCAACCTCAAGCTGAAAGATCTGACACCTGCCAGTGTTCTTAGGAGGCAGGCACTCCCTCCTTCCCCGTAACCTTGGTACCTGTCGTAGGATGTGAGTCCCAGTAGAGTTCACTGCTGTGTGCCTCTCACTCTGGGAGCACTTCCCTCCCTGTGACCAGTATAATTACAATGCTGAAAGAGAACAGGGGTGGCAATGGAAGGGATAGCAGAGGCACCATCTCCAAAGGTGGGTCACTTACCCAGCGTGTATGAGACAGACACGGGGAGGAGGATGGATCCTTAAGGAGACTATTGAAGGGAAGGTTGTTACAAACTTCCAGTTCTCTGCATGACACTTTGGCGTGACTAGTGAGGCACAAGGGGGCTGGGAATTCTGTCTTAATTGATTTGTCCGAGAGGAAGAGAGGGGAGGATGGAAGAAAGGAGAAAGGGAGGGGAATGCCAGTGAGATACTGGAGCTCAGCAGATCTGGGTGGGATTTTGCTTCCTTCATTAAGCAGCAGTTTAACTTTGAATGTGTTGCCTTCCTAACTCCATTTCCATGTATGTGAAGTTACTGCCTAAAAGATAATCTCCAGTTCACAGGCAGTAGGACCTATTGAATAAGGTGCCCACTCTTCCACCTTACTCTGTTTTTTAAAAAGTAAGGCAAGGTTCTAGAATATTGATTAAAATTGATTTTTCAGAGCGGGAGACTGTACCCAGGGCTTTATGCTGGCTACCACAGACCACAGACCTATGTCTCCTCACTCTGAACATGTTTGTAAAGTTATCTCGCTCTTGTTTGTTATTTATAAAGCCTCTAGTAAGACCATATTTGGGGGATGGATTTTTCTCCTATATTGTTATACTTTGGGCATCCTCCTGAGCAAAAGCCTCATGTCGTGACACCCTCGTGTCCTTAGGTACAACTGTGAAGATGAGCGCTGTTACTTAGATCTGGCCAGGCTCAGAGGTGTCCACTACATCACCTGGAGGAAGTCCAACAAGGTGTTTCCTCAAGATAAGGTAACGTTCAGTCAAATGGTTTGGATTCCAGTTATTAAAACAAGAGCCATCACTGAGTCTCAAAGATACACTGTTCTCCTCTTGAGTACTGAGGTTTTTGTTTTTGTTTTTTAGAAACGAATGTCATTTTATTATTTAGAAAATCATATTATTTCGAATTTTAAAGATTTGTTTATATTTTGTAACTATTCAGAGTGAATTTTTAAGATACTTTAAATCCCCTGTCCTCCAATTCAGAGCCATGTAAACAGCAGAGTAGTCAGGAAACTCCAAGAAAGACTGCTGCATAAATCAGAAAGCCTTAGTTACAGTAGGTCAGAAACACACACATTTGCTCTTCATAACTCATTTTAAACCTTCTTCCCTTGACCTTGATGATTCTATCCCTCAAAATTCAGGCTAATTCAATCTTCAGAGTCTCCAGAGGACTTTGTCCTGTCTTTCAGGACAACGAGTAGACTCTTTGACTAACTCAATTCATCATAATAGATAATAAATTCCTACTGAGTCAGCAAAATGCTGTTTCACACCAACATTTTTCTAGTTGGATTTCTTCAGTTGACTCTTCTATATTTGTCTTAAAATTAAAAATAGAAAATATAATGAAGACTGGAAGGAACAGCTGTGTATTCCTGATACTTTTAGACTATCCATGATAAAAACATGTTGGTGTTTTTATACTCTTTACTCATTGTCTCTTTACTCTTTTGGGGGGCCTATCACACAGCTCCCAAATAAATACACCCAGAGGCTTATTTTTACTTGTGAATATACCTTAGCTTGGCTTATTTCTAGCCAGCTCTTGTTAACTTAAATTATACTGTCTACCTTTTGCCTGAGGTGTTTTTTATATTTGCAAATTGGAGAAAACCTCCATATTGTTAAAACAGCTTACACCAGATTATGTATAGCAGTCACCAGCAAACTGTAGCTCTTGGTAGAAATTTGGCCCACCCATTGTTTTTGTAAATAAAGTTTTATTGGGAGCAGCCACATTTGTCTGCATATTGTCTAGGCTTGCTTGTGCATTTCCTTGGCAGAGAAATGCCATCTGTGGCTGAGAGCAGATGGTTGACAGTGCTGAAAATATTACTGGGACCTCTGTTGGAAAAGCTTGCCAGCCTCTGTGGAACAGCATATGTTAAAATAGTTGCTTTAGCCAAAGCAAAATGATTTCATTTCTGTAGGAGAGACACACCTTCAGTGACTTTGGGATTTTGTTCTGGTTTGTCTCTGCAGGGGCACCACCCGACGCTGGGAGAACACCCGAAGTTTACCAATTACTCTTTTGATGTAGAAGAATTCATGTACCTTGTCCTTCAGGCTGCAGAGCACGTATTACAACATCCACAGTGGCCGTTTAAGAAGAAACATGATGAACTGTAGAAATGTTGAGTTTGTTTACAAGAAGACAGTGTTTAAATGCTCTCACATCCAGACTCACAATCGAAGGAGCAGAACAACCTGTCATAGCCTACTGTAAGATGAAACATGACTTTTGACTTTTGAATATAGCTCAGGTTGGCCTTGAATTAACAACCCTCTGAACCTCCTGAGTGCTGGAATTACAGATGTGTGCTACCGTGCCTGTCTACAAAATTGCTTTTTCTATAAGGAAACACGCTTTCAGGATATTTTGTCTTCAAGATTTCCATGTGTTTGTTGTGTCATTGCTATTTGCCAATAGCAATTGTATTTTTGCACTGAAAAAAGTTACTTTTATAGTTCGCAGTTGGGCAGGTGCCCATTAGTATAGCAGAGCTTTCCTATTGGGATACCAAAGTTGTCAACTTAAGCAGCTTTAGAATTTGTAAGTGTGTTTGTTAACTATAATGTGATTGTAATTCCAGAATGTTCCACCTTGTTGTTTATATACTTGGATGAATTCAAAACTGGTTTCATATTTGCCATTGTCTGTTCATAATTACGGTTGTAGGGCCTGGAGACATGGCTCAGTTTAGAATGCTGGCCTTGCATGTAAGGGGCCCTGAGTTCAATCCCTTCCAACACGCATGCTCACACACATGCACATACACACACCAGCGAAAGTCTGTGATTCTCAGGACTAAGCTATAGGACTGAGCTACAGACCAGTATTTAGTCAGCTCCAGGTTACGTGCATCAAGAACCCGAATCAGTCGTGCCATTGTCTTCATTCGTGTTCACATAGCTCATTTCCATCACGTTCTCCCCAAATGTAATGGCAGTGTTGATAATGAGAACACATTGGAGAATCCTGCAGTACCATCTCTGCAGACCCATCAGCCATGAGAACATTCATGTTGACTTGCCATGAAGGCTTCGTTTCCATCAGGCAAGCTTGTGTAAGCACATACAGCTGTGTGCATCTACCTCTGGCAGGGTGACAGTAACCCTAATGTTTGTAAAAACTGCAAAGTGGCCACATGAAGAGACTCTTTCCCTATTAAAAAAAGAAAAGAAAGACCACTAAAAAAACAGTAGCTGGTCATTGGTGGTGCATGCCTTTAATCCCAACACTCTGGAGGCAGAGGCAGGCGGATCTCTGTGAGTTGGAGGCCAGCCTGGTCTACAGAGTGAGTTTCAGGACAGCCTCCAAAACAATAGAGAGAAACCCTGTCTCAAACAAACAAACAAACAAACAAACAACAACAAAAAATACCCAAAACAGTAGAGCTGCGAATTACCCAATCAAAACAAAAGCCCTAAGAAAGAGGCACTGATTAAGTCTGAACTGCAGGCTTGAACAGCAGGCTTGAACAGCAGGCTTGTCCTTGAACGGCTTCACGTCTCACTGCTGATGAGCATCCAGCTCTGCAGTCAGAAACCATGGGTTTGTTCCACTGTACAGCCTGACACTTGCATCTTATTAACATTTGAGTCGGCTATCACAGATGCTACTTTTAGTTTTTACAGTGGACAAAACAAATCATAGCCAAGGATTTTACTTTTAAATTTTAGAGACATAACCCCCCCCAAAAAAAGTCCCCAAACTTCTCAGAAGTTTGCTGCCTTTGGCTTTCAGGGCTTGGTAACTGAGTTGTAGTCTTTATTGAAATATTAAAGAAAAAGATGACCCGCTGTAGGCGAGACCTCTGCTTGGGTTTTAAGATTGTCTGGAAAGAATTGTAACATTGGGAACTTTTTAATGATAGGGTTGCTGCTGTTCTTTGTGTGTAGTTCTATGTGAGCGGTAGGGGTGAGAGTGTTGTACAGGAAAGGGACTGTAGGGAGCGCATTGTCTGAGTCATCAGGGCCCCTGGGAAGCCATTTGAATTTTCATCCTGTTACCTCATTTCAGCAGCACAGGGACCTGTGATTCCACAGACTACTGGGGACTTCATGACTGAGAGCAATTTCATAATAAAGCTGTATTTGAAGATTTTGTATTTAGACAGAACATACTTTATATAAATAAGGAAGTCATTTAAAATTTTAATTATGGGACTGACTTGTATCAATTTTTTGTGGGAGCAGAAGATCTTCAAATTGTTGTAAAATTGTAAATGTAGACATGACTCTTTTTATTGTTTGTAAGGAGATGCATGGCTTCGGAATAAAGCTTTATATTTCATTTAAATATCCGAGCATCTGTAGGGGTTTCTGTGTCTGGATGTCACATCCTATGATTTAAAAAAAATCCAATAGCTTGTATGTGATTTTTAAAAAGTAATTAGCTCACTGATGAAGGATTCAGTGTAATCAAAAATTTATATTTATTTATTTAGCAGCTGTTTTATCTGATGCTCTACAAATGTGGCCCTGCACAAATCTTAACCAAAATGACGGGAGGACGATGGCACCTGATGTCCAGAGCAAGGCAGAGTTATTGAGTGATGTCCCTGAAGGTTCCAGGTCTTGTCATCTCACAGCCAGGTCTCCATGGCTTCCTTGGCTTGCCCATGCAGTCAACACTGAGCCAGCCGCTACTGTGTACCAGTCACCATTATAGCCTCTAAGAAGTTTAGGACCAAGGAACTTAGGTTGTGGTAGAGAAGGTGGGGATTAAGCAATATTGATATAGAAAAACACAGTGTTCCAGACCCTGGTACTGTTGTAGAGAAAGCCAAAGTAAGAAAGGGGTTTGGAGTCTGGACTTAAATAGAGCCTTGCATGCTTAAGTACAGGGTTCTCACTGAGGAGGTGACAATTGAGACTAGAATTCTAGAGGGAGGTGGTTGGTGACCTGGCAGAGAGCTTACCAAGAGCACAGAGCAGCAAGTGCCAAAGCCCTGAGGCAGAGCCTGTGTTAAGTCTGAGGAAGAGCCAGGGTAGCTGCTGTGACAGAGGAGTCATAAGTTACTCAAAGGAAAATAGCGCATGTAGATGGCAAGGCTCTTGTCTCCATTCTGAATGGACCTGTATAAAGGAGCAAAGACCTGGCTTTCGGACAGGGTGACTCTCCTGGCTTTCCTTTGGACAGGTGACTCTCGCTGTTATACTCAGCAGGAAGCAGACTCTGGGATGAAGGATTACAAGCTGATGGCTTATTGCCAGTGGATTCTCACGGTCAACACAGGTGAGGAAGCATGGGGTCCAGAAAAGACCAGGGACTGGGCAGGGGGAGACATCACCTGGAATTAAGTAGGTCTTCACGGGCATTGTAGGACACAGTATCTTTCAGAGATTTCCCAATGGAGGCAGGAGGTGGTGCCATCCGGTTGGAGTCGTAGAGGTGGAGAATGAGGAACCTTGATCAGGGCAATTCCCTCCACCTGGGGACAGTTATTAGGAGACCATGCTGCTGGGGATCCATCAGTGTTCCCCACAACCTGGAGGCTGAGAGCCTGTCTGCAGGGGGAAGGCAAGGCCCACAGGCAGCTTCCACTGCCTGGGAGCGCAGTGTGTGGGCTCTTCTGTTCTCCCATCAACTTCCTGCCAACTGGAAGTTTGATTTTAGAGTCTTCATTGCATGCAGATTTTATTTTTATTTGTTTAAAAAAGAACACCATGAACTTCAAAATGTAGATTGTCAAGGTAAGGACAGTTCTTATTTTTAGGGTGTAATTATCATTTCAAGTGTGGGGGCCTTATTTGGGCCAGTCCTCTGTTGAGTATTCCTCGTTAACTTCCCATTCCTACACATTCTAAAGCCCATAAGACCATTCTCTTATATGTTTAAACAGAGCAGAGAGGGTAAGAAATGTGCCCAAAGCTACTCAGCCAGCAACAGACAGTTGGATGTAGAAGTTTCTTTGTGAAGGGATTACCTAGGAATGCTTACATGGAAGGTAAGTAAGGGGGGAGGGAGGAAAAGTTAAAGGGGAACATAGGGAATGGAAAAAAATGTCTTAAAGTTTCTTACAATTACCAGGTGGTGTTCTTTGAAATATAGACATTGCAGAGCAAATAGGAAGTTGCTTTTCAACTGGAAGCTTGCCAGTCAGCTCAAGTGTGATTGCAGCATTAGCTGCTTTTCTCATGACTGTCAGCATACTCTACAAAGGCAACTTAAGGAAGAAATGAAGAAAAGATTCATTTTGGCCTAGAGTTCAAGGATGCCCCCTCCATGGCTGGGAAGTCACAGCCTCGAGGGTCTAAGGCAGCTGGTTGCGCTGTATCCCAGTCGTGAAGCAGACACGGATGAGGGCTGGTGCTTCTTGCTCAGTTTGTTTTCTCAGGACCTTAAGCCATGGAATGATGGTGCCTACTTTCAGGATGGGTCATCACAGCTCAGTTAAACCTGCCTAGAACACCATCACAGACACAACCATAGGTGTATTTTCATGGTTATTCTAAATCCAGACACGGTAACGATGGTGAACTATCACAATTGTCCCAGAGTGGAGTCAATCATTTAAAACAACCTTCTAGGGGATAGGTAAGTAACTCAGTCAGTAGAGGGTTTGTCTCGGGTGTGGTGATGCTTACCTGTAATTTAAGCATTCAGAAGTTGTAGGCAAGAGGCTCAAGAAGGCTCAAGAGGCTCAAGAAAGCTTCAGCTGCTGAATTTGAGGTTACATGAGACTGCCCTAAAATACACCAGTAACAACAAAACATGCTAACCTCCCTCGAGCACGGGACGCTGCCAGAACACTCGAAGACTTTAAGCCATGTCAAAAGATGCAGTCACCATTCTTAGCCAAAACAATAGTCTGATCTGAGCAATTTGCTGAATTTGTTCTTACACGCTGTGGGCCGGTGTACCTAGTGGCCACGAGGTGGCAGTCAATCCCTTCCAAATGGCCTCTAGGGCCCGTACTGATTGTGAAACTAGGCTTCTGGGCCTGGGAGGAAGGTCTGACTCCCACCATGCACAGGGTGGTGGTGGTAGGGGTGGTGGATTTCATTCCTTAAGTGAGGGAACCTGCGATCACTGGAACAGCTTTTGGGATGACTGGGAATGTGTGTGTGCGTGCATGCGTGTGTTTAGGGGGGTGCCTTTGCTGCTGCCAGCACATGCATACTAGTAATATCTCTTCATCTTGTAAAGGGGCAAGAAGTGACAGAAGCCATCGGCCAATCTGCACCCTGGAAAGCCTGGAGTTTGGCTGGGATCTGACCTCTGTTGAATGTAGCGTGTTAACATTTTAGTTTTACCACAAAGCTAACTTTTTAAAAGATTTTCTTTTTATTATGTATAAAGTGTTCTACTTGCATGCATGCCTGTGTGCCAGAAGAGGGCACCAGATCTCATTTAGAATATTGGGAGCCACCATGTGGTTGCTGGGAATTGAACTCAGGACCTCTGGAAGAGCAGCCAGTGCTCTTAACCTCTGAGCCATTTCTCTAGCTCCAAAGCTAAATTCTTACGTTGCCCTTACCATGGGCTTCACTGCTATTTTTTTGTTTGAATAGAACTCCAATTAGATGATTTCACTGATGGTCGGAAACCCAAGGATTATAGAACATTAAGGAATGCTGTTTAGTGAGTTGGGGTGCTAATATTGAGCACACACAGGTATGACCTAGTGCAGTTCTCTTCAAATGTGTTTTAGTTATTTGTGTCATTGCTATGACAAGATACTCGACAACAGCAAATTAAGGACCTGTTTTACATGACAGTTTGAGGACATGCTTCATCATAGCAGGGAAGCAAGGAACATGAGGTGACTGCTGGACCCATTGTATTCCCCGTTGGGAAGGAGAGATACTCAACTGCTATCTCCCTTTATATTAAATTTGGGACTCACAGAGATCCATCTGCCTCTGTCTCTAGACTCCTGGAGTTAAAGATGTAGCTACCACTGTCCTCTGTGGCTAACTAGTGGCTTAGGTATGTGACTAACTAATGGTTTAGCTCTTAACTAGGTATGTGGCTAACTAATGGTTTAGCTCTTAACTAGGTATGTGGCTAACTAGTGGTTTAGCTCTTAACCATGTGGTTGCTGGGACTTGAACTCAGAACCTCTAGAAGAGCAACCAGTGCTCTTCATCACTGAGCCATCTCTCCAGCCCCGCTGCTTTGCTTTTCTGATCTTCAGTTTAAACCCCAATATCTGTTTCTAGGTTTTTATTATTCGTGCTACACAACTTTGTTCTCCAGATTGGGGGACTGAAAGATGAAGTGGTGGTCTTCCATGGTGTTTGTTCATATCTGATTTTGGTGTAAACCATGCTCACATCATGTTTTTTTTTTTTTTTCCTGTCTGATTCCAAGATGCACTTCAGGAGTATTATTTATCCACTGCTAATGTGGATAAACAAGCCAGAAGGTATCAAGCTTCTAGAAGACAAGACACTTTGTGAACTTGGCTGTCCAACCCTATGGAGCTTTTGATTTTAAAAACAAAACAAAACAAAAAACTTGTTTTTAATTATGTATGTTCTAGTTTGCTTTCTGCTGCTGTGGGAGAAACAAAACAAAAGAAAACACCCACAACAAAAGCAACTTGGGGAAGATAGGGTCTATTTGGCTTATACTTCCAGATCACAACCCATCATTGAAATTAATCAAGGCAGAAACTTCTGACAGGAACTCAGAGACAAGAACCATGGAGGAACTGTGTTTGTGGGCTCTCTGATTCATGCTCAACCAGGCCTATCCACCTCCAGTTGATCAATAATCCAGAAGATTTCCTCACAGATATGGCCACAGGCCAATCCAAATCTGGGCAAACCTTCATTTGAGACTTCCTCAGATGACATCTGACAGTGTCAAGTTGACAGCTGATAGTAACTCGGAACAATGAGCATATGAGGGGAGGGAGGTTGTCCATGTGAGTGCAGTGCCTATGGAGGCCAGAAGAGGGCATCATATTTCCTGGAGCTGGGATAGGACATGGGTCAGGAACCTAGGATGCTCCCCAAGAGCTGTACTATGTGTTCTTAACCAGGAAGCCATCTGGGTATCCCTGGAGCTTTGCTTCTCTTACTTGTAAACTAGTGATGTATATTAGGCAGGATGGAGCTAAGGAGGTAAAAAGGAAATCAATCCATGCTTGTTTGTTGCTGCCACACAGCCTTGTTCAGCAAATGCTGTTATTATATATTGTGACACGTGGATTTATTGTTATTTAGACCCACAGCACCTGCGGACCATTTCAGTTCCGCTCTTAGGACCTCTTCCCAGGCCTGGCCAAGCAGAATTTCTAGGGCACAGTCTAGCTGTGTAGTTTGTTAAATGTCCCCAGGTGTTTCTGATTTGGAGTGAGTCAGGGCTGCTGGCTTAGGAGATACTGGCAAACTCCTGGGAACAAGTCAGCCCATGCCAAAGTACCTTCCACTGGGTGTCAACCTGGGAAACATTACCTCAAGTCAATTAAAAAGACCTCATCTCAGGCTTCTCAGCACCTTTTGAAAGACCCCCAGAGTGGGGAGACCCTCACTCAAGTCTCAGGATAAGCTGATGCCCCACTAATTCAAAAGAGACCGTTCTTGATGCAAGCACACAAGGTTTATTCAGGGAACCAGTGCACTGGGGCCGAGCCCATAACCCTTGCAGGGGCAGAGGAGTTTGACCCTCAGTAGTTGCAGTCGGGGGTTTTTTAAAGGGAAAAACCATAAAGAATGGGGGAGTTTAGACAAGTACCATGAAGAATGGGGAAGTTAGGCAAACACCATAAAGGATGGGGAAGGTAGGTGATAGCTCATGCTATAGGTTATCTTGAGCAAGCATTCTTGGGGCATTGTACAGTTAAACATTGAGCAAAGCACCCAATGTGTCAGGAATGTGGTGAGCTAGTTCCTGGATCAGGGATTGTTATCTTTTAAGTTTATCTTGAGGTCACCGGTTTCTCAGGAGAGGGCAAAAGAACAAGTTCCTCTGTGCTGGGCTAGTTGCTAGGGGTCTAAAAATGTTGTTAGGGTCTCTCACTTTGACATGCTAGTTGTATATTGAGTTGTGAGCAGGGAGATGCACTATACCCTGAACACGTTATTTAACCATGGGGTCATTGTCTTAAGATACATGAATAAGGTATTATGAGGATCCCCTTGGACAGGCGACACAACTCCCTTCTGGGGAAGAGGACACCAGGTAGTACCTTCAGTGTGAAGTTGCTCCAGTCAGTTGTGTCTTAGCATGTGCAGCTACATGTCTGTATGTGCATATATATATGTATATGTGTGGGTATGTATGTACATGTGTGCATGTGTGTAGAAGTCAGAGCACTTTAGATGTTGTCCCTCAGCAATGCTCCACCCCCTTTTGAGACAGGGCATCTCTCTGAACTTGGAGTGCATCAGTTAGGTGAGACTGACTCGAAGTGAGCCCCAGGCATCTCCTTGTCTCCATCTTGTCCAGCTTTTATGTGGATTACTAGGATCGAACTCGGGTCTTCACGCTTGCAAGGCTGTACTGATGGAGCTATACCCCACCCTCTGCTGCATGCTGTTGGTTGAATTAACTCGGTTGTGTCATCGGTCCTTGTTGATAGAGTGAGGATAAATAGCCAGGCCAAGACATGGCTAATATGGAGGCTGTAGGATGAAAGAGCAGCTTCTGCTGGGTGTGTTTCTCACAAAGAGGTTGACAAAGTCCAGGGTCTATGCACCCCTTCTTATATGGGGTCAATGTAAGCCACTTGTCAAGTACTCCTGAGGCTGTTGGTATGTTCAGATAGTGAACCATGAGGTCAAAACAAACAACAACAACCACCCACTGATACCAGCATCATCAGTCCTGGAGGTGTTACTGCCAAAGCACACCATGAGACACTGAATGAAGCTGAGGGTGCAGGATCTGGGTTGTCTCACTCCACATTTAATGTCATCTAGATTGATAGAGCTGCAGTGACACTGCATGATTCAATCAGCAAGACAAGCATGGGTAAAAGGAAACCGTAGCATTCTGAGAAATCTGTAAACTAAATTGCAAGGGTCCCGGAATGAATTTGAATCGGGCATGATTTTGGGCCGAGATCTAAACTGGGTGCAGCGTTAGCCAATGAAATTGGTTGATTTGACGGACGTCCACTGGAAGACAATCGGCCCATAGGAGATGGAGTTAAAGGTGACTCTGGCAAGTCCCAGAAGCAAACCCAAAGCTAAAGCGGTATAGACATGTAAATAAGGCAGATGCCAGGCTAGAATGAGAGGGACAAGGGCTGCATTGAACAGACCCAAGGCAACACAGCCAAAGGCCAGGATTAGCATTTGAAAGCCAGCCAAGGAGGAAAGGGGACGACTGAAGGCCTCACTCCACCCCTGAAAACCTGCAAACTGGAAAGGCAGGTGGGAAATGGCTGAGGAAGGAAAGCCAGTCCTAATTCACGGTTGGAGCACTTCCTCAATGATAGAAAAATGTAAATGCCCCAGAAAAAATATTTTCGCCTATGTATCATTTTTCAAATCTCTGGGTAATATTCCACAGCGTTCAGGGAGGGAATCGACACAGGGCGCTTTGAGAAGTGTTTATGGATGGGCTCCTGGAAGCGGGCCTCAGGGTCTCCTTCTTCACTTTATGAGAGTGTCATGACTTCTGCTTTCCTGTAAGACTAGAAGATTCGATGATGGAGCTCCTCGGTCTTTGCTTTGTCCTGTCAGGCATCTCTATGCAAATCAACTCCTGGCAGAAGTCACTTTGGAACCCTATCGTATTTACCTTTTACTTGATGCTAAACGCTGGGATTGCCTTGTTTTTGCAATTCAAATAACAGAGTATCAGAATGAAAAGTTTTATAGTGGATGCTTCTTGGTGCAAATAATGCATCTGGACCGCAAAGGAACAAAATAACATCCAGACAGAGGTACCTGCTCTCCACAGTTGCGAAATACACCGCGTGCTCTGCCTCTCTTCCCCCCCTCCACCTCCCACAATAGTGCAACACCCATCACCCAGGAATCCTGCAAAGAGGTACTGACTATGGGAAGCCTTCGTGAGACTGTATAGAAAGACAAGGGAATGTAAGAAAAGTAACTTGCCTTTTGAGCATGATGCTTGGTATACTCAAGAAGCATGAACCCTTAAGGTCATTATGTCTCCACCTAGTGTCAGAGGTAGATCGAATTCTTTTGACCAGGACGAAATAGGTTTCCCTTAATGGGTCCCAAGGGACCCCTGATATCCATCCTCAGTGGCCTCTAAAACTGCTGTATAATTTCCCATTCAAGAGACTCTCCTCCACCCCAAAGTCATTTAGGAGATGGGCTGTTGGGATTAGATATATTTCCACCATGAAAATCTGGATATCTGATTCCCAAACTGCTCACCAGAAGGGATTGGTGTCTGGTCTGGATTTGCAAGCACAGAGTCCAGGCAGCAGCGCTCATTGAAGAGAAGAGTGGGAGAAGGGAATCAGACCTCCAGCCTGGCTTTCATGGCCTCTGGCCAGGACAGACGCAAGGACATATTGCAATTCTGGCCAGCGACACTATGTCTAAACTATCTTTCCGGTTTCTATTGTCTGTCTTCATCACATCCCGAGTGCCTCCTGGTTTTCCTTTATCAGATTATAATTTCATCCACAGCTTCTCTGGAGCCAGAATACAGTCTCACGTGTCAAAAGGAAAGAGAAAATGGGGGAAAAGGTTTCAGGGAAACTTTTGGGGATGTAATTGTAAAGCCATTAAAATACCAACCCACCTATTTCTGACTCTCTTTTGGAAGCCCGGACTGGCACATGGGTATATCTTATCTTTCTGAAGTCCTTTGTCTTTAACCTTGGTGCTTGAAGGAAAAAAAAAGGCTGTTAATAAAACCCAACTCTGTTTCATATGAGCTAGTGCTGAGGTCCTACTCTAGGTCAATGCCATGACTCCTGGGTTGACGTACGTCCAGGTCTCTAAAAGGTTAAGAGAACTAACTCCTCAGGCTGCCAGGGATGACAGTGTAGAGCCAGCTCTCTGTTCTGTTACTACTAATGATAATAGTAAATTTTAGATGTCAGGTTTTAGTTTGCAGAACCCAAATTAACCTGTGGACAATGCCTCATACCCACAGGAGTTTTTTGACATGGACCCAGGATATCCTGTAGAGTGATGATGCTTGGTGACACTTAGTAAAAAATCTGCAGATTTTGGCAGAGTTCAGGGAGTCACAGGATAGTGGGGTGGTACAAGAGTCAGCTCAGGGCTGCTGCTTATAGTTGGGTCCCTTCAAGGAACATGAAGCCTCAGAGAGCTTCAAGCTGTCACCTGTACATGGGCACTGTGAAGAGAGGTACCTCTCAGGGTCACTGACAGGATTGGTTGGGTCATCCTCTGAATGGAACCACTGGGCCGGAAAGACAACGATGAGCGAACAGGGAGCATACATTAATCAGATAATCCTAGAAGCTAGGCTATGGAAAGATAAACAGCTGAGTACTGTGGAGGGAAGGAAGCCAT